GGCAGCAGCTTTAACAGGCTTGCAAATTAATCCTTGAAAACAGGCATAGCAAATGTTGTCTCCGAGACAGATACACATGACAACGGAAGCTTGAATTCTTTGCTACATTTAAACCCTCTTTCCACATTTCCATTTCAAACAATCTACAGAAAGAGGAGGTTGAACACATCAGTGTTCCCCTTTCCACTTCCTTACCCATAACACTTTGAACTTGTTGCCATTGAGTGTTCCAGTAGGACAGTCTAGAGATCAGTAAAAAAAATTCTGCAGTCAACAAATGAGAAGTTATACCATCTCTCTCACCGTTTCCACATCCTGATCCTTTGAACCATCCTTCTCATATAAACATGTAGGATGGAGTAGGTTAACTACCATAACCCTCAGAATACCCTTACAGTGAGTCCATTAACCTTATCTTCCTTGTCATTGTTTACCATCCAATACTAAAAACTGAAAGTGGCATATCACCAACTGATCCAGGTGTTGGGGCAGTACCTGAGCCAAGTACCAAATCAGGTCCAGAACCAAGAGGCCAGACAAAACCATAAATGGGAAGAACTAAATCTGGGCTGTTGAGCTTTGATTCACAGCCTCAGTAAGATTCTTACCTCTAGAATTTAAATAAACTCTGAAGTTAAAAAGAGTTCTGCTCCTAAACACATGATCCAAGAATACAAGGAGATATACCTCATAAAAACTGAGGTCATCATAGAATCTACACCATATTGAAAAATGCTATCAAGATTTTTACCAGGACCATTTCACTCCCTATAATTAAAGCAATCCAACACAATAAATATCATAGCATGGGTAATATAGTACAGTGATATCTCCATTAGACGACTCTCTCAAAGCCGGAAAAAAAATCCCTCATCCCCGGAATTTTCTGGGTAACGGAAAATTTTTCTCTTTGACACAGTGTGGGTCAAGTTGGCACTTAACACAAGTTGACTGAAACTGGATTGCTAGCATAAACAACACGTGTAATGATCACAAATAAACAATCCTTTTACTTTACTGTACTACTAAAGCTAAATACTGTGTAGTCCAACCAATAACTGTTATACTGTATAGTGCTATAATATTAAGGACAAAGCACTTACCTCCAATATTGGGAGATATTGCAAACATGGAGACAAATATTTAGTGAGAAATCATGGCTGAGACTGAGTAGGATGTATGCCTGTGAAACCAATATGGCCTACTGGAAGAAAGTCTAGTTACACTGACTGATAAAACACCTTAATGTTGCCTAATACAGTACAGTTGCAATAAGAAGGAATAACTTATTCATAATTTCAGCTCAGCCATTATTGTTGATGGGCTTCCTGGACCTCTTCAGTACTCACTGTACATGGTTAGCATAACACACAAGCCACTAACAAGGCATTAGGGCATACAACATTTGTGGCATATATATTTCTAACTACAATTTTTCACAGGGTTAATTGCAGGTAATGAGTTAGTACAAAATAAAATCCTGATTTTTTTTTATATCTTTAATACCCCAGTTTAGAGGTTTATCACCTACATCAGTGGATCACAAAGTAATTAAGTATGCATTAAGTAAACTAGAAATTTTGTATATCCCTTTTACTTAATAAGATGCAAACTACCAGTCATGTACATTATTCTAAAACAATGCAACTGAAAAGTAAACTACAAAATGCCAAAAAATACCCAAGGGAGGTATTCTCTGACAATTAAGCCATGGTTAAGTGCATAATACAAGTGATATGTGCTCAACTGCCCTTGTAATGTGAAACCAACAAGTTTAAGTTTCCTTCAATATTAGTTATAATAAAAATCACTTACAGTTGTTATTTTGTCAGCAACACAACTTAAATGCATAATATCAATAGAACCCTGCAGTTAGCCTTTTATAGATAAAATATGTATTAGTGTGCGATACTGTCAATCTGGAAATATTATACTCTCATACACGTATGCACTTTACTCAGTACAGGTTAACAATCCCTTATCCGAAATCCTTGGGGCCAGAGGCATTTCGGATTTTTTCGGTTTTTAGATTTTTTTTTTTTTTTTTTTTATAGCCCACCTGGCACAGGTCACTGACCCACATAGGGCCTGGGGAATATTATTATTATTATTATTATTATTATTATTATTATTATTATTATTATTATTATTATTATTATTATTATTATTATTATTATAATAATAATAATAATGATAATAATAATAATAAATAATAATAATAATAATAATAATTCAAAGGCTTAGGTCGTGTTTCTCACTTTTTATCTTTTTTTTCATTCTTGTGTATCTTTATTATTATTTTATTAATACAGTATTATTGTTATTATTATTAATTTTATTATATTTTATTATTATATATTATTATTATTGTTATCATTATCATTATTATTTTGGTGTATTTTTTTATTAAAAAATTTATTTACTATGAATAATTATTATTATTACTATTACATTCCCTTCCACCTCCTCCCAGGCCCCGATGTGGGTCAGTGATCTATGCCTGGCTGGGCTAATCCCTGTAAAAAAAAAAAATATTGCTCCACAAAAAAACTTTCGGTTTTCAGAGCTTTTCAGATAAAGGGTTGTCAACCTATAATACAGAAACAACACAAACTGTTATTCATAATATATGACTACATATTTGTTCCCTCATATAAGAGATATCAAGAATTACTGCTTTAAAGATATAATGAAATCTGACACTGTTGATGACACTTTCATAGTGTTGCTGACAAAAGATCCCTGTGGGTGTAATGTACATTATCTGTCCGACTTCACTTGTTATAATGAATTTCAGAAATACAGTGCAATACTTTGAAAACTGTCACCCAAGTCACATGAAGAACTGGTGGAGAAAAAATGAAAAATAGAAACCCACAGTTCAGAACTCGTCTGCAATTTTGTATCCAAAAATAATTGCAGTACCTATAGTAATAATATTTTTTTAAACAGACACAAAATAATAATAATACAATATGGTATTTCCATTATAATTCAAATGAAGTCCACAGTTTTTCAATGTCTGTGGTCATGCATTCTCTCAGCCAAAGTCTTTTCACTATATATAATTAAGTTCACAGCAAATAAATCCTGTATTCATCACATTACCTCACAAACCAAAATTCATAAGTTAATAACTCTACAATTATTGCATGTGCTCTTCCCAAAGTTTTTCAATTGCTGTTTGTCTCCTATCATTATATACAGGAGTAAATGAACACCTTTCATACCTTTTAAAGATTATTTGTAACATAAGTAAAGTCAATGCCAAAACATACTGTTAATAGAAACTCTCTGATGGAGTAAATTATATTGCACTCAATATAACAAAAACTATACTTTCTGTTAGTCACACACAATACTGGCTCTGGTGATCACCGGCCAAAACAATATGAACACAATTAAATAGCTCCAACAGAGCCATGTACATAGTTCTGCTTAAAACAGGTACTTAGATGTAAGGATAAGGTAACTCACTAACTATAACACCATTCAACAGAATCTCCAGCCCCTCATACAATTACCTATGGTGCCAGGTTTCTGCTTAACCCCTTCCTAACCATGTGGCCAAGCTGGCATTTACATATACAGTGACAATAAATGGAGTTCCTAGACCATGCAATAAGTGAAGGGGTTAAAAACCTATTGCTCAATTTCATGTCAAGTTATTATTGTCTACATTCACAGTTATAAAATGATTTCTTTACATCACATATACTATCATCACTGATACTGTTTATCACATTAAGAAACACACAGAACAGCACACTGTGTTACAGCCAACTGACAAGTGAATTCTGCCATACTAACATGAGAAGCAGCATGCACATATTGTATCTATCATTATAAGAGTACGGTTTTCACTTCTAAAACCACAAGATTGTCAAAACACTTTAACTTATGTTGTTGCAATACTTCAGAATATAAAACAAATGCACCTTGAACTGAATGGCAGAAAAAATTATAAGAAACGTAATGATTCCAAACCAAAATTGTACAGATCAGAAAACATATCCCTAAAACAATAATATAATGTCTCTTATCATCACTGATAAATATGTCTTTTTAGAATCTTAAGTTTTTGTAGATAGATCAAGATATAAAAAACATAAAATATACATGCAAGCTTTAAAGCACTTTGAAGATTCATCTAAAGATAGATACTGCATTGTACTAAGTACGAATCCCTCAACACACATAAAGCTAGCTAAAAGCACGTAGTGTCGACTACAGCAAACTTTGGTATACGAAACACGGATAATGCTATTTCTAATGATAAACTCTACATACTACCGGTACTGTGTTGCCGGCAGATACTGGGTATGGTATCACCCATCATAATGCTCACCCTGTGTGCTGCATGTCTATAACCCTCTTACATGGTCCCTTGATTATTAAAACATATCATACACATCACATTCCCACATAAATCCAAACAATATCTTTGTCCACTGTTTTTCAATAAAAAAGCAAGAGCATAACACATCTTAATGCTCATGCCAGAACAGTACAGTACACTAAACCTCAAAGTGGTAACTAAGTTTTAATGATATGGATCAACAAAACTAATGACTGGATGTTATGTGGGAATACAAAAATATATACAGTAACACCTCACTAATTTGAATTTCAGATTACCTGAACAAGTTTCAAAGGGAAAATTACTTTTGAGCATCACGTTCTGATTTTGTCTATAACAAAGCAGGCCAACCACCTACAATATGAAGCATTCGTTATCAGTTAGACTGTTCATAAAAATAGTTTGTCTCTTATTATTTAACACTATCATATATTCTTCTAACGTATATGTGAGAGTATGTACAGGAATGTACTAATACAGTATTCATTTTCCTGTGAAAATTTCTCTCATGTTTCATTGTAAGTAATAAAAGAGATGATTTCAAATCAATAAAGTGTGCACCAGTATTGGGAAGTGAACTACATAGAATAAGAGGAGATAATCTCACATTACAGTACTGTAATGTCAATATAATGTACTGTACTGTATTTAAAAAAAAAAGTGAAACTAAAGGTACTTTAAAAATTGCACAAGTACAGTAACCACAACTTGAGGAAAAAAAAAAAAAAATTGTAATATGGACAAAAAAATTAATTATGGAATATAATTATTTAAGCCAAAATATTTGCATTTTACCTTTCACAAGCACCAGAAATTGAGCATTGTAGTGGCGTCTGACAACAGTAAAGAGGGCACCCAGTGCAGTAGAAAGGAGAGTAGTCAAGGTTATGAGATGATCTCGAGTGGGTATTCCTAAAAAAGCATCTCAGAGAAAAGAATTTACGTACTTTACATAAATGGAATATCTCACGGTCATCTTGATCATCACCATTTTATGGCCATTATCCACACTTACATGGGCTAGCCATGATAACTTGATGGCATGGTGCCCCAGGTGCCATCAGGTATATTGGAAGCAAGTTTTACATTTGGAAGCTCTTACTATTGTCACTTCACTTTTACAGAGTGGGAACTGGGCATTATGTGTAGGACTTCCAAGTAGCCTCTTAGTTGGTAAGGCAAGACAGTACATTATCAAATAATTGCCTCCTTTATTAAGTGTTAATGGTGAAAACTGAAGTAAGAGTTGATCTCATTCCTATAATTCTGCATATGCCAAAATAAAGTTTACCTCTAGTGTTGTGTTTTGTATTTATAATGTTCAATCACAATAAACAGGAAGCTTATAAAAAATCACTATTAAGGTTATTTCAAATTAATATTTTACACTTTCCCCTTCATTTACCTGTTTTATTCCACATCTTTACTAGGCTAAGCAGAAATATGTCCAAGACCAAACATATATCACTTAGATAAGTACAATACACTTTTATTTTCAACAACTGGTAATTATTTTTCTCTATATAATATTATTTTCTTACTATTGCAGTACTGTAGTATTATTCTTTATTGAACCTTCTCGCTCACACAATAAGTTTTTAAATTTCTGTGACCATGACAAGTAATAATGTGGCCAATTTACCCCACAAGAATTTTTTTTTACATATTCAATATAACACTAACTTCATTATTGTTTTAGCTTTAACATTACACAGAAAATACATAGATAAGACTAAAAAGAGACTGGTTTTTTCACTCCAAATAACGAGTTCCCGGCATCATATCTCAAATATTTTTGTCATAAACCCACCAGGTATATCATAATTATAGAAGTAGAAGTTTATGAGCTTTATAACATTGACTTTCAAAAATCTATATGTCTCATAATTTGGGGAGAAAATTAAAAAAAAAATAGAAATGCCTAAAAATCACCAAAATCCAAATATATATATATATTTTTTTTCACACCTATGAGGTTTATTGTATTAAATTTTTGTGTATTGTATAATTTGTAATGTTAAGAAGGAAATGTGGTCTTAAATATCCTGTAGCACTTATGGTTATATAATCGATTTTTGAAGCTGGTGGACTGGCATTTTTCAAAGTCATGCTCCGAGACACACTCTCTCTCTCTCTCTACATTTTGTATGTTTGTTATATAGATAATGATATTGTAGGAATTATGCATATATTGTTACATACATAAATTAAAAAATTAATTTATATAAGTACCTTGTATATAAACGTACTGTATAGGCCATATAAACGATTTACATATGGTGGAGGCGGTGGTAGTGACGAGCTGCTTGCCATTCTTGCTCTGTTTTTCTAATTTTGTTTCCTTGCCAACAACACTTTCACTATAACTGCTTGATAATCCTTTGGGGTAGGAGCAGTTTCCTCGTCCCCTAGCTATTTTCTATGATAATGAACCTTGTGAGGCATGTACCATTATTGTTTGAATTAAATTAAAAATTTAAAATATTTTCTGCAAACAAATTTTTTTTTTACTGAAACTTGAAAACTAATTCACTATAAAACAACACTGTAGTCAAAACGTGTACAGCAGATGTAATGGGGAGAGTTTGACAGGAGTTAAAAAGACAGAGACATATCCTACCAGCTTGGTTGACGGGAGAAGACTGGTAAACAATTGACCCGCGCTTATGTCCACTGTACTGTACTCTACTTTCTGGAAGTTTGCCTCGTGAGATCATGCAGCTATCTATGATACATTAAAATTGATGCGATTATCTTAAAAACTTTTTTGGGGCGAATTTTTAAGTTTTATGACGCGATTCACGTCACCGATGCATTTAGTGCTACCAAATAATATAACGCGATTCATGTCATGGTGAGCGAGAGGGTTAATAGTATGTATGAAGGTGCAAGATCCCCTGCTCTGACTACCCTTGCACTATCCACTCAAACACAATTAGGCAGCCATTGCAATTTCCTTCACTACTCTACTAGCTACTCTGTAAGGTAGCTGTAACCTTGTAACCATCCTGGAAGACTCGTGTTGTGTATCAGCTATGGAAATAAAGCCCATATTAACTCCTGTAAAAAGTATTTGAATAATTACTACACCCTCCAACTACAACCAGGGTCCTCAAAAGGGTTCTCTTAAAAGTAGGAGTTACTGTACTATTTAAAGCAGGTATTAAGTCATTGTTGCATGTATAGTGTGTAAATCACCCATCACTTTGGACCACAGCAACAGTCTAACCTCCAACACTGTACTTTACTTAATATGTGTGGATATGTCTATCCTGTCTACAAGAGGCAGATATCTAATTCAGTGTTTGTCTTTGTATATGTTTAATACAACTGAGACCACTCTGAGTAATTCAGTTATTCTCCCTCTGCAAAACAGCTGGCACTGAAAAATGGACTATTGATATGGTCCTAAGGTACAATCAAGTAAGTGACAAGTGTGTAGAAACTGCTGGTGTGGCATTAACTCAATTACCTTCTGCTTTAAATGGCAACACCTATTTCTATATTCTAAAGGATAAATAATTAGTCCCAACAGCTCTATTGCAGAGTTAATCTGGTGTTAGCCCTGTAAAGCTAATATAATGAGTCATCTAGTCTGGTCTTGGTTATAAACTGGGATTTCAAGACCAACCCATCCTTTTTTTACAATTCAATAGTACAGTAAGTATTAAATTTATTTAAGTACTTATTGATACACAGTATGTTTATATAAATGCTCATGTAAAAATGGTGATTATTTACAGTATCATACCAATTTAAATATGCTGGAATTCAAGTGTAAATTTTACTTCATTAATTCAGATTTTTGGCTATTAGTGAGGATTTACTGTATACAGCATGAAAAATACTGTACACCACATTTTTCCCTAACAGATCACTATAGGATAGTTAGGTCTACCGTATGTGTAATAAAGTATGCACTATCTACATGAATATGAGGGAGACAAATGAGAATGCAATTATGTAACATATAACTTCCAACTCAATAATTACAAATAATATATAACATAAAAGCTGACACGAGGAGCAGATGAGAACAAACTACAGTAATGATAATAATCAGAACAAGACTGAAATACTGTACTGTATATCATTCTGAGCATGACTTTCACATCACATACTACAAATTTAAAAAAAAAAATATGAAAACTGCACTAAAAATAAAATCAACGACACAAAAATAAGAACACATCTGCCTCTGCATGAACATGGTAAACAAAAAAGGAGCCTCTTCATCCTTTATCATAATATTTGTACAGCAACGGCAATATCTTCATCCTCATCACACACACACACAAAAATCCTTCATTGCGTTACCTCAGATGAAGGATAACAACCAGCTAAAAAAACCCAAAAACATTAATACTAAAATAATATATAATTAGCAGTGTGTGTGTGTACTCCACTTTAGGACTTGTGTCTTAAGAATTTACAGATGTCCGTATGGTATACAGTAGTTTATCAAGCACTATACAAAATACACCTTAAACACAAACAAAACCTTGCTAACTGTCTAGAATATGTCATAACCCTTTTCCATTACGGTGGCTAAAATATCATTCATGTCTCTCAAAACTGGCCAAATGAACCATCCGAACGTATAATCTTACTAACATTACCCAACTTAATTAAAATATATTGTAAGATACTAAGTTGGGTTGGGTTGGGTTGGGTTGGGTTTAGCTGATTTGTTCTGTCTGTTTGAAAAGATGTTTTATATGATTTTTTCCCAAAACTAATAATTTTGGAAGATCCAAAGTTTCCAAAGTTTAAGACCGTTACTGTATATGATAAAACGTCAAAGGGCAGAACAACATTACTGTACTTTTATACCTGTTGATAAAATGCTAAATAATGGATGAAAAGTGACTGCTACACCATCTAGACAATTACCAAAACTTCTCTATCTATACAAAAGCATTGCAGTAGAGTATGCAAGAGTGTAAATATTAATACAAAATCACAGTGTTTATGGTTGCACACAATAGGCTTACTACAAGTGACCTTTTTTTTCTGTTCTTTTTTTTTCTATTTCAGTGTTATCATCTGTAAAACATAATGTGAGAATTCTGTTGTACAACTAAAGGACAAACGTACAAGTGTCATTAACCATACAACACCTTTTGTAAAAAAATATAATCCTGATTCTTGTGTTGATGGTATGGCAAACCTAGCAATCTTCATACTGCTGAATATATTAAAAACATTCATACACTTAACAAATATGTGCTTACCAGCTACACAAATTCCTGCAAACCATGGAAGTAAATATGATGATAAATGAACTGGCAGGATTCTTGCTTGTCTATTTTCTATCTAATACAGAAAAATAATCACCTTGCTTCAAATACATGTTCAGCCAACATTAGTGGATATGAGCAATACTGAAGCATTAAAGGTTTGGTTTCCTTATTTAATACTAAACTTAAAAAAGTAATTCTTGACCAATATTTCATGATAGGCTTCATGCTCTGACAATAAACTTATTAATACATCTTTGACATATGAACCAAATGATAGTCTAATAAGTTTCCCTGTATCATATAAGGGGTTCCAATATGTCTCAGCCAGTTTTGATCCCTTCTGCACAGTAACAATAAAACTGCGAACTACAACCATGTAACGTCACCTATAAAAGCACAACTTTTGTTCTATTATTATATACACATTCTAACTCCTAATGAAAAGATCAATGCATTAACCCTCACAGTAGAATTTACCCCATGTCTTATAAGTTATGTCATGTAACAAAAATCAAAACAATGTGGATTTTCACCAACTGAGTAGTACAGTGATTAGATTTAAAGCTTCACTACGGTAACCATCATTTTTTGCACGTAATCTTTTCCACTGAACTTCTTCAATAACTTTCAAACACTTTTCACTTAAAAACCAACACACCGTGTTTATCATCCCACCTTTTCATATTATGCATTCTTAATTATATCAATTTCTTTCTTTCTGTTCTTCAAATACTGTACAGGCACCTAAAAGAGAGACAATATAATTTTATATCCATACAAAAGAACTTAAATTATTTTAACTTCCTGCGGCTTCTTTTAACATTTACTTCATTTTTAATATGGGACTCCCAGTCGTCATAACATCTTCCTTATATTATTTCATTATCAATACCCTACTGTACTGTACTTCCTTTGTGCCGTTTCTCATAAAACTGTTTAAAATGCCTAAGGGCATTCAAAACTTCCACTTTCTTAGCATAATAAAAACTACTGGTATACCAGACAAGAGAAAATGTCTGTTTAATCTGCATGTGCTGTGTTAATTATATCATTACAAAAGCCTCACTGTGCAGTAGAGACCAAAACCTCACCATAATATAAAAGACAAGTAATTTTGAGGAACTTCACAGTGATTATTTAAATTACTCTTAATATTTATGTGGACTTACAATTTACATAATATGAAAACCTAATTATGCTTATATGGGACAGGTGCAGGCAATTCTTGATTCTATCCAACTATATTGTTAATAATATTATTACTGTACTTCTAAACATGCCAAGTGATCAGACGACCACCAGGCTACCATATTCTACCAATAAGGTTATTTCTTTGGATACAAAATGTAAGAATTTTCTGTTCTAAATACAGTTTACAAGGAATATAATTATATGCAGCAAAGAATTACCAGAACCCATCCCACATGATTTTAGGTCACAGCATGAACTAAAATAAAAAGTAATTTTTGGTTTTGATAATGAAAACAAAATAAAATTAAGTCAGGAAAAAATGTAAAAAAAACTTACCTAATTAGGCCAGGCTGACCTAGTTATTGTACATAAAGATAAGTGGCACACAAACAAAGGAGGTGTGTTGTACCATACATCAATACTAAATTGTTCATGTAAATAGTTAACCTTAACCATGTACTGTACTATAAAGGTAAAAGAGAGGTATCAGAACTGAAGTGCAACAGTATTGTGTGCAAATGTATGAGCAACATTAATGAGTTTTTTCCCAAAGCTGTGAAGCTATTATTTTCAGAATAGTATAACACTCTTACATCTTTATGCTACCTTAATAAGCATCTCATACTGGGGAGATCATCTGGTGTGAGGCTGCTTCACATGAGTAATTGTGATTCGGCATTTGTAATTACACACACAACTGTTTATGGATATTATATTGTGAGTACTGGTAACTGTAAATTTGTATGTGTGAATAAATATATCCGAGACGGTTCATGTTTGTGTTAATATTCATATACTGTACTACCGGCAATAAATGCATGAATTAATGTGTATACCTGTATGTTATTAAGTACAGACAGACCCAGACTTATGAAAGGGTTATGCTCCTAAAAAATCTCTTGTAATTTAATTTTCCATAAATCAATGAACATTTTCCCTTAGATTCCCATTATAAAAACTGGGATACTTTCCTACAAAAAATAAACTTTCCCCAAATGTCTTAAAATGCCACATAGTGCTACAAACAGGGTTTTGATGAAATTTTTTGGAATACACAATGATTATAAGTCATTAAATACTGTATGTAGTAAGTGAAGTACTGTACACTGTATACATGCAGTAGAGTAATAATTATATCCCTGTACAGTACTTAAAAAGAGAAAATGGACGAGATTGGAAACAATTGAACAGTATGAAATGTTAAGCCAAGTATAATAGTTATATTAGCCTAATAATATACTGACTGCCATTATATAACTGGAGATGTTCTCTATGGAGAGAGAGAAAACATCCACGCTTGACCCTTGAGGAGTTATTGTGTCTCCTATATTTCTCACTTTCTTTACTTGGTGCAGACACTGCAATCAGAGACACCTTGAGCTATGATGACACTGTTTCAAGCATTAAGATGGGTGTGCTCTGTAATCATTGTTTAAAAAGAGATTTTATTTTGCTTTTACAATGCCCTCAAACTCCAAAGTGATAGAACCGAGTTTAGCTGCACTGAAGGAAACAAAGTGCTTAGTGTAAAAGAAAAGGTGGAAATTCTACAAAAACTTGACTAACTGCAGTCTATGGAGAACTGGTAAATGCATAGCACTGTGATTTAGCTGTGGGATGGCTTCAAACATTTAAATGTGCTGTCTTAAAGCCACTGGAGAAAAAAATATCAGAACACAGAGGCACAAAGTCACCAGCCAGCCTGCATTTCAGCTCAGTCATATGATGCTCCACTCTCCCTCCCTTGTGCATTGCCAGCAACATCCACACCTACAAACATTTCTTCATTTCCAAATTCCACACTTCCTTTTACAACTTTACACTTTTATTGCATATAATTAGCAAATTAAATTTAAGAATACTGAATAAATTTCTTTTGTCCAATTTTCCACATATTACATGAGAATAAATGAGGTGAAATTGGACATTCAGGCAACTGGTTCAGTGACTCAAGTGAGGACTAAGATATATCTGTGTGACAATTGTAGGAGAAAGATGACATTCTGAAAGCTTATTTGTAGAATAACAACATTGTGAATGTTAGAGAATAATGAAGTAAGTAAACATACTGGTAATAATAATAAACCTACACTATTTTAACATATTTTCATCATTACTAAGGATTTTTTTTAACTCAGAGATATTGCTCGTAAATCAAAGCGTGGGCCATTTGCTTTTTCGTAACTCCATAGTCATAAATTAAATTCTCATAAATTAGGGTCTACCTGTGTATGATGTATGTGTGTGTTTATGTGTGTCTGTGTGTGTGTGTGAGTATAAATAGTTTCATAATTGCATGTTTCATTAGGTAGTAGTTCTTCATGAATATACACTACATCCCTCCCAAGTCACGATAGCATAAATTACTTTTTACCATAACTCTTAACTAGTCTTTTATAAATATATATATAAAAAACATAAAAATAATCAATAAATGCAGTAAGACATTCATTTCGTATAACAAGGTCTGTAACTACACATCATTTTCTCAATATTGATGAAAATATCTGCTGAAATTTTATTTACAAATGATTAAAAGGCCATTTATCTTTCCTATCTGGTTTAATTTTTTCCTAAGTGTCACATTTGGAATGGAAAAATATGTATTACATTTGTTTATCTAGCATTATTCACAGCAAGAAGGAAGTCACCTAACGTATGAAGAACAATCACAACCTGTCACACCCAGCTCTTGTTTGGTTTAAGATTTTCTTGATTATCTATGAGATCCTTTCATGAGCCTAAAAGTAAGGTTTCTACAACTCACAGCATTTCTGCTTCGTCGTGCGAGTATCTGCGTAACTGTGCCTGCAGTTTTTGTAGGACAGTCTTCACATTTCGTTTGCAATAGGCTTCTGCATCTGTAATTTCCAAAAATTATGTTCCGAAGCACATGGTACATTCAGTCCCTTTAGTTGAGACTGAAAGCTGCACAATTGATAAACTAATAAATATAATTACCATTTTATAATTAAAAATCTTCAGAAGTAAAAATAAAAACTAGAAATATTGAAGTGAATCCTGAGTGGCTGTATAAAAAATAGTTTTCTTAAAGCAATATAACTTTGAAATCAACTGCAAGGAAATAGAAGTCACTGTGTATTGTAAAACCTGTGAATTGCATTAAGTTAAAATTTAGTATGATATTCAAGTAATTATTCTTCAGTTAAAACACTGAAATTTTGTTTTTAATAATTTCAATTGAGAAAACTGCTAAATGTAATTCAGTTGTATATGAATATAAAAACCTAGCATGTATCAATCTATTGCAGAAAATGTGTCAAATACCTAAATCATATATGAAGTTTATTCTTAACCCTTAACCCAATAACTCTCTCTTCAGGTACAATTTTTTCCCAGCTGTGCTCCTGATACTGGACTAGCTACACTCTCTCTTAACTGAATGATTTATGCAAATTATTGTGACTGTTTTTAGATCTTTCAAGTGATAGTGTTGTAAGTGTGCCTTAAGTTTCAAGTTAGAGCCTTTCCCACTCCATGGCTACATTCTGTTAAATTGATCTTATCAGTTTTTATATTGTGTTATTATGCATGGCAAAATGTTGTGGCTGAAAAGCCTAAATGCGTAGTGGAGGATTGTATGACGAGCGTGTATCTAGAGGGCTGTGTGGTTGATGAGCGCGGTGGTGGGAGTAACACAGAGCATTGTACAGTAGTAACATGAGTGGTTTATGCACCTAATCTCTTTCTTACTGATTTCATCATTTTCAAATATATAAAATAACAATTGACTCTGTAAATATCTATTAATTTTATAATTCTACGTGTGTCAAATCTGATTACTTGAGGGCCGGAAGTCAAATGTTCACGTGCATCTGGCAGTGAGCAGCCAACGTTACCACAGAAACAGATGTACCATACCCCTACCACTTAACAACTGTCTGCCTCCACCATCCAGTGCTGCTTACCACCATCACCACTCCCTCTCCTAACTTCGTGATTGCTAATACCACTAATACAGTAAACAATAATTAGGATACAGCTCAGTGGCTCATGCATATATTATCAAATAAAATAGTACAAGCACTATAAGAAAATGTTTCCCAACACCCAGGTAAGAAACAGCTTTAGGTACACATCTTATATATTATGGTGTAGTGACCTCTATTAGAGTTCATTCAGTCAGAGGTCTATGAGTTAGGAACCTATCTCGACCTCTACATGGGGTACAAGGTATTGTTGTACTACAGAATGAGTTCAGTCCAGATCGACATAAATTTCTGAATTAAGAAAGCTCACTTCCACGCCTGTCCAGATTCAGTTTGGATTGACATCTGACGTCCAGATTAAGCGACATCTGGATAATTGGGATCTGGATTAGCGAGGTTTGTCTGTATTATCACTGATCTTAGATCATAAGCCCTGATTGTGATTTTAAATTGAGTGCCTCTATTTTGGACCTAAACAGCTTGTGGCTAATGAAACGTAGAAAAGTACTACAGTATTTGGCATCTTCAGACCAAGAGCACTTGAAATGACAGACTCCCCAGAAACATACAGACCACCATGCTTGCTCAATGTGCTTCAACAACGCAGGCTTGCTAACCCTCTCACCTTCTTCTACGCCGAAACCTAAGATATTCAAGGCGCTAATACATATATTTGAAGAATTGGCAAAAACTGTGAACGAAATTTTGAGCAGCGGTGAGGAGAATGAGACTGAGAAATGGGATAGAAGACTAGGCTGCACGTGCCTCTCCAAACCCAACTCTTCCTCCCACACTTTGACAGTCTACTGCATCACTTGGTTGACCACTACAGGAATTTCTGTGACATTCCCCAACTCCAAAAATTATTCTCTATGAGTCCATAAGACTAAAAATCCTCTACATATATCTTTTGAATATCCATTTTTGCATCTGCAGGAAAGACGTGGATTGGGAATTGCATTCTTTAAGGGGTAATATGTAAAATAAAAGTAAATCATCAGTCAATGCCAACAAACATAATTAACTACTATACTGTATAACATGAGAGTTGTAACTGATCAACTACTTTGAAGTTAATAATCATCTTTATGCATATTAAGTTTGAGATGTATACAAACAATTCAGACTGCACAGAAGAAAGTCATCCTACATGCTCACCTTTGATTATAAAGCCAGAGTCTTTTATTGTCTTCGATTCAGTTTTCCAAATCCAGTAGATGTGGAACATGACAGCAGTGAAGAACTGGTTGAGCACATGCCTCACGTTGCTACGACTATTGCATTCTCTGAGGAAAAAAGGCGTCATGAGTAGGTTTTAATTTAGTTTTGAGAATATTTCAAGCAGTCGTGATGGATGTCGGAAGAGGCAACTGCGGAAATACAGATATCATGTTTTTTTTCTTAAATAAACAAGCAGTCTAAACAGATACAGTACATGTTTAGAAATATCTTTGAACTATTTTACTTACAAAGATATTATTGATACATTGCACATCCTTAGTATTATAAATTCAAATTCAAAAGACAAACCTATATCACTGGAGAAGCTGTTTTACCTAATATTTTTAAATTTAGACATTCAAGCCCTGAATATGTAGCAGCAAAATCATAATACAGTTCAATGAACTCTGAATGATGATTTGGCAAAAAAAAAAAAAAAAAAACTTTGCAAGATTATTAACCCTAATGACTGAGGCTACTGTGACAAGGACTGCCACTGAAAACGAATCTAAGAAAAAGGTTCAACCCATTTAGTTAAACACTAAACCTGCTTAAGCTGAATTTTACCTGTACTCAGCTTACAGTGATTAATATCAAAGTTATTCAGTACTGCACTTATGACTATGATGGTATAAAATGCTAATACAAGGTATATGAGCATTTTTGGGGGAAGGGGGGTGGGGTGGGGGGGGGGTCCTTTTCTAAAATCATTGTTGAAGAATGAAATTAGAGAAAACATACTCTGAGCCACCCTGTATGAAATGAATACAGTGCCCTCCAATTCTCGGTTTATGAATGTTCAGTCACCTGCACACATACAAACCCATTATTATTATCACTATATTATGAGTCACAACCGCACGCCACACCATAAACACCCCCACATCTCTCAATACTCACCCCTCTTACCATATCAATAATCGTCTTACACTACCACCTCAATACCATCTTTATACTCACCCCAATACACTCACCTATTTATTATATATCATACAGTACTTGTATCACTCACGTTACTTGTACAGTAAGTTCTCGCTTAGCGTCGGGGTTACGTTCCGGAAAGCGCGACGTTATACGAAACAACGTTAAGCGGATCAATTTTCCCCACAAGAAATAAATAAAATATGGAAGTAACGTTCCCCAGCCTCCCGTTGCCCCATGAAATACAATACATACACAGAAAATCATTGCCATTTCTATAGAAAATAGTGCATACATATACGACTACTAAGTTTGTATTGGTACTCACCGATGGGCGGAGGTGGTAGAGCGAGTGTGTGGTGGGTAGTGAAGCAGAGGGGGCAAATGGCGGGAGGGGAGGAGTGTGCCGAGAGAAGGGGAGAAACGAGGCGGGAGCGGAGGGGGGTGGTGAATCACTAAGAGTCTGTGCCGAGCCGAGAGAGTGTAGCAGGGACAGGCGAGAGAGGGTGATGTGCTGTAGAACATAGTCCATAACGAAGCAAAACGACGTAGTATCAGATCATCGGGACGTTATACAAATTTTTTATCTCAAAATTTTAGCAACGTAGTACCGAAACAATGTTAAGCGGGACGACATTGAGCGCGGACTTACTGTACATACAGTGTGCTTGGTGTTTTAGAACATACACAGTACGTCCTCTGACTTTCATTTAATTTTTAATTTTGCCACTTAGAGCGGCTAGTTTATTGTGCACTCCAACCTTATTCTGTGAGCGGTAGCGCAAAAGGATTGCAGAGTAGAGTTCACAAAGGGTCATAATAATTAACCCCCGTGGTCAGGATATTATGGCATTGAATGTTATACAGTATTTCAAATAAATTCCTTGTTTAGTTCTATACATAAAGGGTAACTCATTCACAACTCATGCAGTTGCAAATAAGGAGTGTGAGGCAGTGTGTCTGGCTGCACACTTTGTTATTCACATTTGCATCAGCGGTATTCAAGCACATTGTGTGTTTGGTTCTATACATGGGAACTGATATAGCTACTAAGTGCAAAAAAGTGGATGCAGTCTTAATATGTTGGCTATCTTGCCATTAGAGATAGAGTGTTGTGCCATTTCACACACAGACTATAAGGGTTAAAGGGGTTATTGAGCATCATTATACAGCAAGAAATATGAACCAATTTATTTTGCATGACTCACAATGTAATGTGATAAATGGATTAGAAATTCCATCCTTATATACCAGGGATAAAAGAAAAATGATAAACTTACTTATTTAAATACCCTTCTCGAAGAGTTTGCAGTGATATCCTTGTGACATTAATTGAGAGCACCATAAGTGGGAACTGAGAATGTTGATCATGACTCAGACAGAATATGTCCCGAGCCAGAGGCAGCAGAGGTTCGTGGGTTAACAAATAGAGAGCCTGAACCAACCCAAGCAGACCAACACCTCGCAAGTCGGTTGCAGGGTCAACACCCTGAAGGGAATAAAGTTAAAAAATAATATCATACACTGTATATGAGCACATCAGTCACCAATTAGTTATTCATATCACAAAAGGAACAAATCTACTTGATACATTACAGAGACATCTTCATTTCCATTTTTAATGGAAGCTATATAGAAAATAATATGTGACCTTTGGGAATGACTTCTGCTCAGGAGTTTCAACAGAAGAAGTCATTCAACAAATTAGTTTTTTCCACTGAAATTCATTAAACAAACAAAATCACGTTTTTTCTTTCTTTTTATTCATGTTCAAATTTCTTTTCATACAAATTGTCTAAAGTTCATTCCCTAGTGACAGTTGTTTCCAACATGTCATCATCAAAATTACTCAGAACAATCAGTGTCTCCCCAAGGCTACAACTCTTAACCTAACCAAATCTAGACTGACATTCTCTCTACATCATTTGTGAATATCATTTGTGTAAAAATGAAAGCTCATAAAATAAAAAATCCACTTATTCATCATCATTAAATCGCCATTCACATTGTTAAAAATAAAAAATAAATAAGAACTCGCACAATAATGGCCTATGTTTTTCCCAGAGATAGATTTATCTTTTTGGGAAACGGTGCTATCCTACCTGGAATCCAATCACATCCCAATGACTGCCAAAGCGAGGACAATCAACCTTGGTTCCAGTGAGGACTTTGTACACAGTTTGTAAAATCTGGAGGTGGATTGGTTCACTGTTATCAAACTGACCTGCAATAGAATTAGCAGTATGTAAGTCTGGGGGATGATATTAATGCATGGCTACTTGCCTTTAAAATATATTGTCTGCACAATACATCCTGTGTCAATTCAAGAGAGATAAAAATAATCAATACAAAACTACGAGGCTTCATGACAGAATTAAAAATAAGGGTGTAAAGGAATTTACAATTCTCAAAGAAATAAAAAAATAAAAAATACTCACATTGTGCAATTGCAAAGAGTAAGTTCCTCTCTTCCACAAGCTCAGCTTTCAATTTCTTGGGTCCAAATATTGTCCGAAAGAGACCATTTACTCCTCTCTGTTCTAGTGTTGGTTTAATGGATCCCTGAAAAATAAATAAGTATCTCAAGTATCCTCTGTACTCATTTCAAATGCATATTAATATGAAACCATAAAATTCTAATTTCAAAATTTTTTACTCCTCTAAAAAAAGAAAACAAATGTTTTAAATTCATTATTATATTTGAACATAAAAGATGTACAGTATACTGTACTATACTGTATACAGCAATATCTCTGTTAGCCGGAATCCCTCAAATCCGAAACTCTCCGATGGCCGGAATTGAAATTTTCTCGGAAAATCATTCCCAAAGAAGTAATTTTCTGGAAAATTCCGGCTTTGGAAACGATTTTCCGAGGGGCACATTTTACAGAAAATTCAGAGAGAATTTTCCCGATCCCCAGAAAATTCCGGGGATGGGGGAGTTTTTTCCGAGTTTGAGAGATGAATATACAGTATATTATAGCGGGCAATTTCTGGAACTTCCGAGAACATTTTTCCGTTACCCAGAAAATTCTGGGAATGAGGGATATTTTTCCTGCTTTGAGAGAGTTGTCTCGTTACCCGGAAATCTCTCATTCCTGGAAGTGCTTTGCACTAATTGTTCCGGCTAACGGGGATATCGCTGTATTATGTTATCACTCACAGCTGTTTGTCGTCAGTAGTTAATTAATGTTTAAAACTTTAAACTGATATTACAAGCCATCAGAAGATGTCTGAAACAATGTTATAATTCATCAGTACCGGATTGATTATACTGTATATAGTGTACAGTGTCAGCATTAGTTGCTTGAGATATACAAAGACCTAACAAAAACAGGCTTATTTCTGCACAGGCCTCCGTCAATTTTATCTTTTTAGCCTAGGCTACTTACCTGATAGAGCATGACATTTGCATAGCCTATGAATATCTAACAACATACTGTACTGTACAGTACTTTATTTGTATATTGTAGCCTACATATCCTACTTTATATAACGTTAATGTAGCCTAAATACATCTAACACTATTGGACATATATATCCTACAACACAGAATGTTAGTACAGATACTATAAATATTATAAACAAGCACAGAAACTACAGCAGACTCCAAAGCAGTCTCTTCCTGGGTTGGCTGAAAAATTTACGGAATGGTAGACTTGGTCTGGTCTCACAGTTATTGTTCATAAAACAATTACTTGCAGTATGTGTAATTGTGGAACACTGAGCACTCAACAAATATTTCACAACATTTCACATTCTCAAACTGGCATAAAACAGAGCAATTTGAATAGGGACAAGGAATAGTAATAGTTATGGCCAGGAGTTGGAGTATTGATTGCATTCAGATAGTATGTGACAGGAGAGTTGCGGTCAGGAGACGGCCGATCATTAAACTGTAAGTGACCAATTGTAACTTGGGTATGGGGTATGACTATGTTGCTATAGTGAATGATCGTATCACAACACATTATAACCTGTATTTCTGGAGTAAATGTACAAAATTAAAGATTTCAAAAATTAAGCAAATTGTAAGATAAAACAAGAATTAGTCAATATTCACCATTACATGACTCATATCTTGACGAGTGAAGAAATCCCACACTTCATCAAAATCTGTGTGGGGAGTAATTTTCACATTTGGTGGTAAGCCTTGAGGAGATTTTGCAGGAGATTTTGCAGGTGAGGATGATGATCTATCAATATATTTCTTGGGACTTTTATGGAAGTCCTCCTTGTGTGGGGAGCGGAGTATTGGCTCCACACACTGAACAGCCTCCCATTCCTCCTGCGCTGCAGCAAAATCTTCATCTTGGCTGTGCACATAAAAATAGTTTCAGCTACAGGTAAACAAAATTGACTAAATTTACTGATAAAGAAATTTAAAATAATTACCCCTAAAAATATATCTTAAAAGAGGAAGCACTGTACACTGTACTATCGTGCACTTCAATACCTTACAATACTCATCCATAACACACTTTATCACCTGATGTTACTCCAATTTGTACAAGCTATGCAACTAATTCTATTCAGCCATTCCTACATTTCATAATTTGACTTAACAAATCTGAGGTACTCCTGCGTACCCTATGCTATAACTAAGTTTAATTTACAGTATAGCAAGGTTTCAATAGTCTTAGGCAGAGCAGTGCAGTTACCCAAATTAATCAACTCGCACATCATATGGATCTAAGACAATGCAAAATAAAATGAGCCAACCATTCCTTTCTTGTAGTGATATAAATTACAGTAGTATTATTTACGTACCTTACTCTATCTACACGGCTCGCCCCATGACTCTTGTTCTTTCGGTTCCTTTCGGCAACATCTACAAATTCAGACGGTGGTTCTTTTTGATGCAAACTTTCTAACATCTGAAACATTCCAAATTATGTAAGATTACATCATACTATTTGTATCCAGTATGGTTTAGTATCCCATTACTGACTAATTTTATTATTTGTTTCTGCCAACTACACAATCTCTTTACTATTGACTGAAAACTCCTGTTTGGTACAATATTATTACTTGTGAATAATTTTGAGCCCAAGAAAATTACATATATAAAGATGTATTTCTGTTAAGTAACTTAAGACTCTTAAAGTGTAACAACAATTACTGAAAATGATAATGTCATGCTCCCAAAATTTGGAATTAAGTGTGTAAGATTATTTTTAAAACTTCTGCTTAGGCATGCATAGACTGTTAGTGACTATACCTTAAAATTTAAAGTTTGAAGCTTTGGTTAATGGTGTTTCTTGATTAAATGGTGAATACAGGTATGCCAATAGCTGTCCCAAATTGCCATGTTACAGCAAGATTCTGCAAAATTGATATACAGTATATCAAGTACAGTATACAAGCAACTGCTACAAAACCAACTGATACTGGTTCATACCAAGTCCTTGTACAGTACAGTACAAAGACAACAACTCTATGTAACATAGGCAATACTTAAGGTCATATAGCTTGAGCATCACCCCATTTCCACTCATAAACATTATGTATTAGAACCATTACAAGCATTAAAAACAACAATGAATTCTGGGATGGTTAAGCAATCAGGGAAAAATTGTTACCTTGTTATTTGATGCTTAAACTGTACAAACCTAAGCCAGGATATCCAATTAGAGTGCTCTGGGTTACAGCTGAGCAGAGGCAATCACACACTTCATATTAATTCTAAACTTTTTGTTACTTTGCAAAACAGAGCCTTTAGAAAGTGTCTTAATTAATTAAAAACTATTGTTACAATGAATGTGGCAGGAGTAATGCAGAGGAGACAACTGCAACATCTCTATTTATTACAATGTCTTTCCTCTGCTCCCACATGCATGGAGTAGATCAAGAGAAGACACAAACCTCAAGCAAGTAGGGAAGAACGGGAAGAAAAAAGATAGATAGTATTAACAAGAAAAGGCCAAAACATTTCTATACTTCTCTGTATACAGTAGAGTATTGTCAACTTGCATATGAATCACACCAGTACAGTACTAAACTATGAACAGTAAATCATCAATCCTGTAATTGTTTGTAGTTACTGCTTTGTTGTAACCCAATGTGTATTTTAAACAAAGTCATTCAGATCATTCACACTATTATATATGACACAACTCCACTGTACATGATGCATAACAATTATCTGATCAATTTCCTCTGCATACTTTAACTGTCAAAAAGAATATATTCAGAAAATCTTCTTAAAATCAGCATTTATATTTGTTTTAATTTTGATATTACTGTAGTCTTACTAATTTGTTTATTATTTCTTTCAACTAGAGTTAATTATGAATTATAATTATCCTGTACAGGTAATAAAAAATAACCAATTAACACTGTGTATTACAAAACATTGGCAATAATCAAATATTGTAGGAGGATTTATTCTTAATAAATTGGTTAAATGAATGACTGACAGAATTAATTACTTCACATACAGTCAGTGATAAGGAGGATAACTGTGTTCCTTTGCGAGTTGGTATTTGAGTGGAAATTTATCAGTAAATTTTCTTCACAATTAATAAGAAATTAATGTTTAAATCTCAACCACCAGAAATTCATAACCTTACTCATAACAAAAAAGTCCCAGACAAAACACGTTGTCTCTACTGACGGGAACCAATATTTTGCACAATTGTATACCATTTACACAATAAAACAGATGACCAAAAAAACTAAGTAAGATTTTCCCCTTTAAATGAAATCCATGAAACACTATACATTTGTGGTACTTTTGCTAATGTACAATTTGCTTTAAAATGTCCAATAGAACCAACAGCAGCACCCCTAGTTGTAAAAGAGACTGGGCATATTACACACGTGGGTTAGCAGCAAAAATCTGATGGCAGTTGTTGGGTAAAACCAGTTCAGGATGTCCCCACTCCTCTACAAACCCAGGGCATCAGCCCAGAAAATGCAGCAGAGACCAGGGGATGGGCACAGTTCTGGTGACCCAGTTACCATCAGGAAGGTTGAAGCAAAGTTATACTATTGCCCTTTCTAACACCAACCTACAGGGTGGGAACAGCTGGCAAGACAGGGTCACAACTCCCTGAGGTGATCAAAAATTATTAATCAACAATCAATCAATAATTGGGTCATTTGGTCATACAGTACAGTACAAACAAAACAATCATCACAATGAGTAAATATACCTACAACCTATGCTATGCTTCACTGACACCTTACAGCTTTCTGTGTTACTGTCCAAAGTACTTGTAAGTAGCTCTAAGCTTTTCTGATATCTAAATATATATATATATATATATATATATATATATATATATATATATATATATATATAATATAATATACAAAGAGTTCTTTCATTAATCAACACAGCAATTATATCACATACAGTATAACAGGAATTATAAAGAATTAGTTGAAGCGATTGGTAATTTACAAGTAGGAGTTAATTTAATTTATATAAAATCAACAGAAAAGTAGCTAACAAGATTCAATCAAGAAACTAATGCTTGCTAAGCATAAAGCCTTATTTTGAAACAGCTGAAAGCAGGTTATGTGTGCCACAAAGCAGTAAAATACTTAAACAAATACTAATATGATTGTTAAAATCAAAACCAAAGTACAGTACTTTAACCCATGTACAGATGTAAAGTACAACTCTTCCTCACTTTGCATGAACTCCAGTACAGTAGTTACGACACAATTTATTAATTTTGTATAAAAATATACACTGCCAGAGATGAATGGCCAAGGTCTGTGCTTCTGCCAATGTAAATTTCAAAATGTATGCCAAGAAAAGCATTGTTGGAAACATATGTATCATAGGAGTGTGATTACTATACAGGGGGGCCAGACCTACGAATGTCCGACTTACAAACACCCGCTGATACGAACGAGGTCCCATAAAAGCACATCAGACATCACATTATGCTTGCAATATCTTTCCAGGAAGAAGTACTTCCCTGTTTGATAGCTACCTACTACCTACGTATTTTTAGCTTTCATTTCCTGTATTTTGTCATTCTATTTCTTCTTTTCTCTTAAATTAAGTGATTTTTTAAGTATATAGGGACTTGGGCTATGATATAGTGGGATTTTAAACATTGTTATGTAAGTACAGTATGCACATAGGGTATATGTTTCAAGTAAAGTACAGTGACCCCTCGGTTACGAACTCAATCCGTTCCAGAAGGTCGTTAGTTAACCGAAAAGTTCGTTAACGAAACCATTGTTTCAATGGGTTTTTGGTAATGGTTCCAACTCACCGAAAATTTCCTAAATTCAACAAAAATGGTAGAAAAGTTCACTTACTTTGAGGTGTGTATGTAGAAGGCTCCTGGATGATGATGATGATGATGGGAATTACAATGGGGTGGAGGAGAAGGAAGAAGAGAAGGCATTGGGGTGGAAGAGAAGTCACCCCATGGCACCATTTCACCCATAAAATTTTAGTTCTCTTGGTGTATTTCAAGATTATTTTCTTTAAATCAACACTGTACTGCATTATATATTGTCAATATGTAAAATATATTTCAAAATGACCAATAATTTGCTTGGAAACACAGAAAAAAGCGTTTAGTTGAAGAGAGTCTCAAGCAAGATGTTACCTCCAGTGAAAACAGAGAGACTAACGCCTGTTTGCTGTGTTAAGAGGCTGGATGCTGCGCTTTAAACTAGTCACTTTACCTTCAATTATGTTCAATAATTGTTAAAATGACTAAAAAATTGAATATTAAACTTTTAAAATTATTGAATAGTATAAACTTCTTGATATTTACTAAAATAGTTAGGAATTTAAGCCCTAGAACCGATTAATGTATTGGCGGACTGATACTTAAGCTGGTTGCCCGGCCAGTGCAAGCGAAAACATGTTGAGGTCGGTTCGTAAGAAGTTCGTTAACCGAATTGAAGATCCTTATGGAAGGCAGTTCGTTAACCGAAATTTCGTTAACGAGCGTTACCGTTAAGGGTCACTGTACATTTTTTGACTAAAGAACATCTGTAGGAATGGAACTCGTACATAATCCGGGGACTGCTTGTCGTCTGTTTACTCTAACTTTGCAACTGAAACCTAGGGTCAGTTTGTAGCAAGCCAGCTCATTGGCTGGCAGACAGACATGTGAAGAGTCACTACAGTTCTTAAGTATTTAAAACTTACTGCTGTGCTCTATTTGTTTATAAATTAGTTAATCACTTGATTGAGAATAATTATTTCCAGTTCTGGAATAACCAGAGGTATAACTTAACCCTTTCACTGCGACTGTATCGTATATGATCATGTGGTTTAAAATTGGAGTGCGCACCTGACGAGCAAAAATGTGACTGCATTATACGTAAGTATTTTTCTACAAAGTGGAAATATGTAAAATGAACCCGGCAAAAAATATAAAATAAAATTTTCATTATACTGTACTTGTATAATAGAAATATATAGACAGAATATATTTTTTAAAATGTCCGCACACAGGATATCCTGATTAATTAAAGACGGTGCAGTGAAAGGGTTAAGACACCCAGACCTACTAACACCACCCCCATAAGGTGTGGAACAACTCCCTCCCCTCACCCATCCAAGCAAAGACTACGCTCCCTTCTTTTAAATCATCTCTTTAAAGATATCTATTGTCTAAGTATTAATATTTTTGTAACAGTTACTTTACTGTACCATCATAACCATTATATCATAATTGTCACACAGATAGAAATTACCATTGCAATAATTATACTGATACAGTATTGTGTGTGCCTTTGTTTCACCTGAACACAACCCCTGCTGTATTTGCTTCCACTCACTTATCAGATTACAGTGCTGTACTGTATATCAACTCTACTGTAAAATATGCATATATTTATAATATACAGTACTGTTAAAAGTAATAATAAATAAATATACATAAAAATAAAAAAGATCTAATCTTGGTAACATTTTCATATGTATTTACTAACACCATGATATGTATACTAATCCAGAGGACACAAAATGTTATATAACAATTCATTAAGATAAATGCACACTAAATATCACGTGCCACTAGGACGGCTCAGGCTCGGCCATGTCAATACAGTATTGTTATTATTGTCCACTCTGTATCTGTATTTTACTGGCTAAATAATCTGTTTCAATATCAGTATCCAAGTTAAAAATAAATATATATACAGTATTTGGATGACTTAAGAGAGGGCAAGCTGCAATGCCCACAGCCAGTAACTCTTGACTCACTCCCGGGCTAGTGTATCAACTAATTATTTTGATTCTCTACTAGTAAATATTCCATTTGTATGATTTTATATTGTAAATTGTTTTATCTTAGGTAACATATACATGTATTGTGTATACATTTGAGAGACAGCAATATGCAAACCACATGCAGAGTGAGGGACAGTTGTATTATAAATGTGACAATGCAAACCCAAAGCTTCATTTCACACACAAAATCAATAAATCCAGAAAACCAATCTTATGACTGAAGTTGAGGAAAGGAGACCGTGTATTGTATCTACCAAGTCTTCAGATCCCACCCCAGGCTTAACACTCAATAATAACAGCTGCCACTTTTTAAACAATCTGTACACTTCTCCCATTGCAACCATCGCCCTTGTTTGGGGGATCAGAGGCACTGGCTACGTCTTAGGGAATGAGAGGTAAATGGGTGTTGGTGCACATTGACCTATGTAACTCAATCTTTTTTTTGTCCACTGTAAGCCAAACTGGACTTCCTTTCCAGAAACCCATTACAGATAAAGACCCTTGAAACCAGATCTCAGAAAACAAAAGATTCTGGAAAACTGGACATTTTCTTCCCTGGCCAAATCAAGTTTTGCCTCTACACTCACACAAAACTCAAGTTGAATATTGGTATTATCACTTATATAACAAAATACCGATAAGGAAAATTTGTTGCATGCATATACTTTAGTAACTGAGTATTATTCACCACAAAACCTCCTGAATCTTACGATCCTATTTTGACATCTCATCTCATGGGCCAAACATCAACCTGGCTTACAACCACTATTCTCTATGGATAGGCTGAGTTATGTACACCATCAAATCTAGCCCAAATTTTGACATACTATGGGTAAAGCCTGGCACTACAAACTGGCAGCTGACTGAACAGTCATCTGGATTTTTAGCACCAATTGGAATGTGATAGAAAGTCTACAGTTTGTCATTTTAACAATATGCAGGAACGATGTAGCATTATATAATACTCCCCAAGTGTTAATCAGTTTTAGGGAGACAGCTGGACTGAGGTTATTCCTAGAAATTCAACGTGGTTAAAGGTGACTGAGAGAGGGCATTGTGCTGGTTACTGTACACCATGACTCATTCAGCTCCCATCCATAGGTGGTAACTGTAATATCTGATTTTCCTCTTTTTAATGGCAATGGCAGTGACAGCAGATACCCTTAATGTTTAATTAATGCCAACTGTTAGGTTAAGTCTAGGTTTGCATCTGTAAACAAGATATAAAGCTCAGTCATATCCTCAACTTAACCTATTTCAATGTCTTACCTTTCTAAAATTAATCTCTAGGAATCATTTTAGGTGAAAAAGTCACTCCCTATCTCCAATTTCAGTAACAATTATAATGCCATAAAATGGGAAAACATTGGAAATGTCATGTAACAAATCTAATTGGAGTTCACAATGACTGGAAAACTTCTATAATCATTGGAAAATCTAGAAAATTTTCTTTACACAAACAGTACAATTTGATAATATTGTAAGAGAATAAGAATGTTACAAATTTATGATGGGTTTAGATGATCTGGATATTGATGTATTCTCCATCATGCAGTCAAAGAGCAATGTGGTCCTTAAATAATTATCTTCAACTGGTATATACTTGTACTGTACTAGAAACATTAGTGCTTCAGGACTTGAGAGAATTAGGAATTACATTGATTGATTTTAATTACAATGTCCTGCTTATCACTGCACTGAATGCAGTACAGTAAGCATTGTTTGAACTCCATTGCATTAACCTTTTTTCCAGTTAATAAAATTAGTTCCAGGTAATGTTCTGCTGCCCCAAGAAACCTTGTCTTTCTCAAGCATCAAACCCCAACAAGTTGGGCCATAAAGTACATGCTGAGTGACCTCACGTCATTACTCTTGTAATAAAGCCTCTGATGGTGCTATTCCTACATGTGTCATGGATCCACATAGTAACTTTCCAATTTGTTTAAAATTCAACACCTGAGCTGTGAACAAGGAGTTTTTAGCCTCAGGTGAAGGGATGAACCCTCAACTCCTTTTGGATGTAAAGAACTCTAGGTATGTGTCTATTAAAACTGATAACTTTAATGCTGGAGTGACCGTCTTGATAAAGTCATCAACGAATATCATGTGTTAAATTCTTTGATTAACATAATAAATTTAGTAAATTTTAAATTGTGAAAACATAAATTTCTTCAAATGTGAAATAACATTGACTGGCTTTGGTATACAGCAGTTCCATATACTGTACAGTAGTAAGTACTGTAATATAATTTTCAATGGCAGCTACATCATTTGTACAGTACAGTATTTAGGTAATACAGTAGTAATTTTGGTGTCACCTACCCGAAGGGAAGCCGATCGTACTCTACAACCAAGGCCAAACGTGTTAGCTTGATGTAGTTCTCCTGGTTTTCCAACTTCATTACAGAAGCCTTTTAGATGGATAATGTCTTCTATATGAGCACCAGTGGAGTAAGATCTACTACGTTTTGACATCCTCACTTCACTTGCTGATGGACTGGAGTCGACACATTTTCGTTTCTGCAGATAAGTTAGCTGAGTTCGGTTGTAGTTGTCTCTACAGGTCTTATGCCACTTTGCCTTGTGGTTTGCCAGTGTAGTGCTGACTCCATATCCTTCGTCGAGGCGGTCTAGTTTCATGGATTCTGGTAATTCCCCAATCCGATGGAAACTATTCAAGTCATCTGCAAGAGTACTGTATCCTACAACTGCAACTTTTGGTTTAGAATCAGCTAGACAAACAAGTTTTTTATTACTAAACTTCTGGCAAAAAATGCAAAGTGACCAATCTGTAGCCACAACATTTGCAGAATAGGTAGATTTATCTTTAATACTTCTTCTTGAATATACTTTAAACAGACCACCAGCCTCCATTGTACTGTCTATTGTACTACTTGTACCAGTACCATTTTGGTCAACTAGTACCTCAAGACACAAAGCTCTTTTGCCTGGAACAGTAAGGTGTTACCGATTCACATCCACTGCAATCTGAAAGACATAGAATTATAAGCCTATGATTAAAAGTCCTTGAAAGCTAACCACATAAAGTAGGGAACACAGCATTCTATCCTTTACAATTTTCACTCCATACAATATGTATATTATATTGTTGGGAGCTTATAGTACAGTACATATATTATGAAATAGTTACCCATATTACAGTTTTCATCTTTCATTTATCAATGTGTTTCTCTTTTACAGATACAGATAGGTGCTGACTCACTCACAGTCAGCAAGTTGTCCATACACAGCTGTTATTGATCAATTAGTTCAATAACTTATGCTATACATTACATAACTCGGTCTATTTATCCTTTATGTCTTGGATATCCTGTACTATTTTTCCTACATACCGATAATAATAATCTCCGCACCGTTTGACAATTTGGTTGCTTGAAACATACTGGAAGCAATATAAATTAAGTTACAACTGCAAGTTCATAATGTTGAAGTTCATGATATTCTGAATACAGTACAGTATGAAGTTTGTGAAGTCATTAGTTTACAAGGTTGCCAGGAACCCAATCCCATTAACTCACATGACTATACTATACAGTACTCTATTGTACCAAACCCAGTCACTACCACCAAAAATATCTACCTCTGCCTTGTTACACATGAGTATAATGGTCATTCAGCAATAAAAAAATTATGGGAAATTTTTAATGGCGTCACCTTTATTGGTGAGCTATCAGGTGGCTAGGAAGGTAAATATTCAGTCTACAGTATGGGGTCCTCATTATAAGGGACCCTAAAAAAACAAAAAACACTCATAATGAAACCACTTATATAGGGGAATTATTATGAATTAATAAGAATAGGGTCTAATCGAGACTATCACTTTGTGACACTCATAAGGTTTAATTTGATACCTTTTAACATTTATATATAGTACAGTACAGTACCTTAGAAACATTTGACTACACATGATTTTATGAAATTAATTAACTTTATAACTTACATACGGTACTTAAAGTTGTTTGGGGTCAGTGTGTTGATGTGACGCAAGCTACCTAACCACGTACTTGTACGCTCATCTCAGTGAAAGTGGTTCACTGAAACACTCACCACTTTCCTTTCGACATGTAACTTCTAATTTCACGTCCACCCTATAGTAACTACGCTTCCTTTTAGCCACTACACCACCTTGTTTGGTTTGGAACTGATGGCTACAAAAAATAGTCCACCACTGTCACCAAAGGCACAACAAAGTTGGTAATTGTAGTTCTTTGAGCACTTCAAAATAATGGTAGGCAGGCAGGCGGGAATTTCAATCGCTCAAAAACTTGTGTTCCCAATATTCGACAGATTTCAGCTTTAGAAGCTGCTTAACTATGGGGCTCTCCTAATGTATAATCTTAAAAAATGAGCCCCTAACAGAATCAAATAGCAAGTTATTTTCACGTAATACAATTTCCTTGAAAAGTTTTCCCTTGTCTTGATTCTTCTTCCCTGTTTGATCTATACTTTATATGTAATTGTGTTGGGTAATAACCGAAGACTTACCTGACGGCGATTTTGCATAGTAAATGATTATAAAAATGGCGCAATTTCACTATGTTTTATAGAGGACACTGTCGTAGTTCGTACAATTTTTGGCTTTGTTTTTTAATAACCCTACCCTAACCTAACCTAACCTAACCTAACCTAACCTAACCTAACCTAACCTAACCTTACCCTAACGTAACCTAACCTTAACATAAAACCTAGCATAACTTAACACCTGTTGCATTACTGCCAAGAAGATAAAGTAGTGCACACCTTAGTTACTTAAATATCTACCGAGTACTAAACGAAGCATTTGCACAAGAATATAATAAGAAAATAAACACCAAAACAAATAACTCGTCAGTGGGTCAGTCGTCAACATTAGCCTTTGGTTGCTGCAGATTTTGGCCCAAATTTTCTGATTTCATTGATGCTCGAAGCCACCCCCCAGACTGTCCAGAGAGGATCTAACAGGTACAGTACAGCCAATTTAATTAATACTATTGTCTGAAGTCACCCCAGATGGGTTGACTTCAGACATCATTAAACCTCCAACACTGCCTGAAGTCACCCTGTCTTATGGTACCTTAGCATTACAGCTACTAAATCACAAGGAAGACACAAATACAATTACTATATACCTACTTAAACCCTCACAGGACCCACCCAAAGTAAATTCTCTTGATAATAATAACAACTATCATACCATAATGACTTAGACAGACGGTACCATCACACGGGTCTTCCTCATCTAGCAGCCAGGGAGAACATCTGTGCTGGGCCTCACACACAGACACAGACACTCACTCACATAGCATAACTGAGGATGGTGGTAGACTGTGGTAGAGGGTGGTAGGTGAGGTGCTGGCTGGGTGATGCACAAACGCTACTGACTGAAACTGAACTCCCAACCCGTCAACCTTTTAGTGGCCTTATAATCATTAATATTTCATCTCACTACACGAAAATAAACCTACATTTTAGAGATTCTTCATGTAGTGACTAAAGTATCCTTCACTTTAACTTCAGTCTGGTGTGGTTATAATCATCGGGAATTCATATTATTTGTCGGAATTACTAAAGATTCTACTTCTGTCTCAAATGAAAGATAATATTGTAATATATATTTATTCACGACAAAATTACTTATAATTATATGAGCAGAAAAATATAATTGTTTTTTTAAATTATAAGTTAGCACCAAATTTAATTATATTGATGCTGTTTTATCTTGATAGCCATTTAATAATTTCATGAGATTTCTGTTTTTATTTTTGTAGAGGTTACAATATTGAATTATGTTGATTTTAAGAAATTAACGTATTGTATGAAGAAATATATATTTGTTAATAAGATATTGCCACACATATAAGCAGTGAAGGTCATGGCGTCAACGACTTGTGGCAGACGAATGTTCTTGTCCCTCAAAAGTTATTTAATAGGCAGACACTTACCACCAGGAACTTCTCGTTATATTCGTAAGTTCGTACTTATCATATCATGAGCATTATAAGCTAGACGGGATTGTATTTTATTATTAAATAAAAAAAAAGGTAATTGCCTATTACTGTGGTTACCGGTAGGGAGAGACTGTCACCCGTTAATACTAGAAGACAGTGTTGGTAAACCAGTGCTTGATGAAATGTTTCAATAGAAGATACATGTTTTCTTACTGTAATATTTGAGAACAAAACTCCGAGTTATCCAGCCAGTCATGATATCAAGCACTGAACTAAACTGACTGTCCTCTCTTATAAAACCTTAGGCTTCAGGAAGAGCTTCACTTCAATAAGAATACAGTATTTGCTGTAGTGATTAACGTCTCCTCCTTTACTTCCAATAGAATTTACTTTGAAGCACTTAATACTTTTATTAGGTGTGGGTAGAGCATCATGCAGCACAACAGCAGATACAAGCAACACAAGCCCCATCTCTGGTGAAGCAAAGAATGATGCACTGAGTTCCTCTCAAGTGGAGCATGTGCTTATGGAAATGAGAGAAAAAGACATGGTAGGACATTAAGTGAAGTTTTATTGTATTAAGAGAATTATATTGCACTTAATATTGCAAACTTGGCTAATATGGAGGACTTTACAGCCGCTTCCCCCCATCTCAGTAACAGTAAGTTCACTCACGACAGATGTTAAGTTATGCTAGTTAGGTTAAGGTTAGGTTTGGTTAGGGTAAGTTAATTTGACTTGAACTTATAAATAAATAGTTTTTAACACATTTGCCATAACTACAACAGTGTCCTCTATAAAACACAGTGAAATTGTGGTGTTTTTAAATTAGTTTTCCATGAAAAATCAGCGTCTGTGAAGTTGTAAATAATTACCTGTAAATTGTGTTGTTAAGATGTAACACAGATGACAAGTACAGGTTTATGTGGGTACCGTATAGTGTTCCACTCCTTGGTGACCATTCCCTAAATGTGATAACGTCTTGGTGATGGGTGAGACACAAGCTTCTAAAACAGTTGTGACGTAGATCTATATATAACAGGACTGTTGAATGTAAGCTCATTATTGCGAGTGAATAGTCTCTAAGTATAATGAAGTCTTAATGAAATGAATACTAAGTAATGTAACAAGATTTTAAGTAACTGCATATTAATCTATATACTGTACTGTATTGTTTCACACCGCTCGTCATACATCAACTTGTTAGTACAGTGTACATAGTTGACAGTGAGTGGGAACATTTCCGTTATCTGAGTATAAGAAGGTGGATTATGTTGTCCACAATAGATGGTCAAATATGAGATAAAAACCCATAATGCAAACTAGTGAAATCTTAATATTAATTCATAGACAAAGTTTCTTTACAATATTATTACATCTATCATTTAGCTTAGCACAAATCTTGAGTACACAAAATACTGACAAACCTATTGTTGGAAAATGCTCTAGTCAAGCTACTAGTTCATTCATAGTGCAAATTCTTAGTTGCCACATGTACAGAATAGCCACCAAGGGATGGATCATTATACTGTACCTGTAGGCAACTGCAACTACCAGTACATCTGATAACGTAAATAAATGGTAAATAAATAGATGATATCTTTTCCACTTTGATCAGGGACCTGTTAATGTGTCTCATTCATGTTGGGATAGTGATTCTACTATGGGCTATCCACTCTCCTTTAATTCATAAAAGATTATATCAAGAACAGTCATTTTTGTGGCCCAATACTTATTTAAATAATGTTACACTGTGTGCTTTTAATAGAAATATACGCAACTATATTAGATTCCTTATATTTTCAGCCCATCGATATGTCCAACCCATATGAACGAGAGAAAATCCGTTGTATTCTTTGCAAGTACAATATTCGCCTCGATTACAAGAATGTAAGGCTACTATCACAGTTTATCTCGCCATACACTGGTAAAGTTTATGGACGGAACATTACTCGATTATGCCGCAAACAACAGGGAGAGTTGGAAAAGGAAGTACAGAAGAGTATAGCTGCAGGTGAGATACAAAGTTTTGTAAGTACCCTAGTAGCTAAAATTAACAGTTTCAGCCACCTATGGAAGCTGTGTTATGAAAAAGTGAAGTGGCTACCCTTGATAGTTCTCTGGCCCTCTTGTCTCTAGTCACTGCTCTACTTCCTCTATAACCTTGTAGTCATGATTTAGTGTTTTCATTCTGTTTTTCTTGCTTCCCTTTTATCTTTCAAGTATTCCCTCCAAAATAAGTACAGAATTATCCCTCCTATACATGAGGAAAAGAGCATTAGGGAGAGAGTGTGCCTCTATCTGTGTATTACAAGACAGGTACTCTCTCTTGTATGGCTAATCAAGACATCATGGGGATTATTTTGTCAATATTTCTTGCATTGTGTATAGTGAATTTTACTTTTAATTTTTTCTAATAAAGTGACTAAAGACATGATAGTTTTTTAATTGAGTACGAATTTCCACCAAGCATTAAAACCTCACTTGTTCTTTTCAGGATACATAGCTGTGATGCTGAAGGATGTGGGATTCTTAAAGGATCCTAAGTTATTTGATCCTAATAATCCAGTGAGACCCCATAATTATTAGTGATATATCTGTTGATTTGAAGTTACACATTCAGATGTATATAAATTCAACTTTTCATGTACAGTACGTATTTTTATTGTAATTTGAACATGATATTTGTAGGTTATTTGTTATAATAAATGATTATGATTATATGAGGCTTTCTTTAGTGTGTATAGTACCTGTACATGATTTTACAAAGTGAAGTGTTACCTTGACTCCATAACTTGGGGTCCAAAAATCAAAGCTAACATGAGGGGCAGTGACATGTTTTTCTATAAATGCTACTATAATTTGTACAGTACTGAACAAGGAATTCCAGCTTAACCTAGTACTCTAACTTGTGATGCTTGTGGTACTTCACATTATAATGCCAATGCCAAGAGTGCACAAATTCTACATTGGAAATTTTAAGGTACCCGGTACACAAAAAATAACTAGACATGTGGTATAGTTATAATGTTGAAGATTTGTGAGTGATGATTAAAGACTTTAGCAATACTGTATTAGTACTAAGTACATAAAACAACTACAGTACTACTGAGGTTAGGTTGTAGTACTGTACTGTTGTGGCATAGTGAATACCACAGCAGCTTGTACTGTTTAGTGTTTATCTTTACTGTATCTTTGCATGAATGTCTCTGTTCTTTAAGTGCCCAGTGCATAAGACTGATGAAAGTACAGTAGGCTCTCGCCAATAACGACTTCCACAATAACGTTTTCGAAAATAACGGTAAGTTACAATAGATACTCATTTTCGATAATAACGTCTGGATTCTCTTGAATAACGGAAATTTCGCGGGAAGCGTCCGAGCGCATCAATGATAGCGTTTGTTTGACGCCATGTTGATGACGTAGTTGTCCACTCCGCCTCACTCTCACACACGCTGAGTGGAATACAGCGCTGCGCCCACGTGTGAGATTTTCGCCACTATAACCAGTGGTTGTCAGGGTCGGTGATCAATAATGGCTTCCGCATTTTTGCCTGTGGGGGCTAGGGGAGGTGGTGGAGGGAGTGATTTGCCACCTGAATGACTGGGAACTTTTAAAGTGAGGAAATTGAACTGTCCTGAGTCTACAGTGCGAAATATTAAGAGGAACTTAGAGGAGACCAAGAAGAGTATTGCGCTGGCTAAAAATATTTCGGTAGTGATGCGAGGCGAGCTATGAATGATAAAGGCGATAGAAACAGGTTGTCAGTGATAACAGCATTTTCTTGTGAAATGGTTAGCTTGTAGAATGAAAGACAGTGCAAGTCTTAGCGGCCCTCAGATACGGAACAATCATCACGCCAAGCACCTCAAAAACTCCCCCAAGCTAAGTGTTATATTACTCAAACTCTTTATTTTGATGATTGAATAACAGTTCTTTTTATTTCAGCTAACAAAGTGTTAGGAGGGCTTCAAGGGGAAAAAATGGGTGAAATTCTTGTAGCGGCGGCACCAATAAACCCTTTTTACATGTATTTTAATGTCACACAAATAACGTTTTTGCTAATAACGGTGTTTTTCAGGCACCTATTAAACGTTATTGGTGAGAGCCTACTGTGTTTTTATTTTCATGGGTAAATGAGAGGATGTTAACTTTGTCACCTTTATTTTATACACTATTTAAAAAATATTTTGTTCATATAACATTTAAATAATGTACAGTGGGGTATGCTATAACGAATCTAATTGGTTCTAGAACCTTGTTCGTTATAGCATTCGTTCGTTATAGGATTAATCCGTTCCAGGCCCCCAAATACAACCACTTAACACTGAAAAATATAATATAAAATTGTAAAAAAGTGCATAAATATGCATCTAAACCCCTGAAATAAAGAATATCATTTATATTTGTAATAAAAAAACAATAAATTAGAAAAATAAATAAATAAATAATGTTCGTTGTAGGAGTTTCGTTCGTTATAGCATTATCAATTTTATAGGTAAAACCGTTCGTTATAGGAATATTCGTAGTAGGATCCGTTCGTTATAGCATACCCCACTGTATTCTCAGTAAAGATAAACTTGAATTGTAGGTTATACCTTACATTTGTATATCTACTAAAATATTTAATGTCATTTTCACTGGAGTTGCTTCTACTGAATATTTTTCACAAATACTGTAAAGTGCTTTTAAGAAAACTCACTTTTCCCCTTTAATCCACTTGAGCAATGCTCTAAGTCCTTTACCAGCAAGTGCACTAACTTCAAAAGTGAAAAGCTGTTGTGGGGCATATTCCTTCAGGTTGTCAAGCCTCATTACATTTAACAGCTCGTTCACACCCCGGCTCATACAACTGTCTGTTTTGTTGAGGACTATCGCCACCTGCAACAAAATTAAAAAATTATAATGTTGTTAGGACATTTTGCTTATGTCATACATAATAATAAAGAATTAATAATGCTTATGATTAGTAATTAATAAATGCCAATACTGTAAAGTACAAGTACAGTACTGTATATGAGGCATTGCAGGAAAATTAGAAATATTTGAAGGGGGTGAATATTGGAGTGCTGAAGAAGGAAGGGAGATGTGGCTGTGACATAGGGCCCATAAGTGGCTTTGATTCCCCCAGCTACCTCCCCAGGTCATAACTGATATCCTCCCAGCCAACACCAAGACCACCTGCACTAGCCCTTTACATACAGCTAATTATCCCAATACTGATGACAAGGTGAGGTGGCATCTGGGACATAATGGTAATCATTCTCTTCCACAGACTGTAGATTGTTACCACAGAAAACAAATTTACATATACTCGTACATATAGAGGACTTCATTAATACCTGCAATGCCTCATATGAAAGATCTGTATTAAGTATTAGTGTTTTTCAAATGAGTAGTGATATCATTTATATCTCCAGGGTTGTTTAGTAAATGAATGGGATATCTTGATAAAAAAGGGGTACCTGTACTACACACATAAATGGGGATAAAATACACATAAGTGGAGATACCATAAATATAAGTGGAGATACACAGGTACAAGGAGAAACTAAGTACAGTAAAATATATTTTGAGGGAGGTCCAGCCTTTACACTAAATGAACCTCATGTAAGGGCACCCATATAAGCCTCAGGTCTACAGTACAGTACTTACCTGCTCCTCAAACACCAAAACACATCTTGTACAATATAAATGAATCCTGTACTGTACTACACAATTTTAAATTATACATAGACTGTTAACAAAATAAATACCTGGAATATTCAAGAAAGTTTGTTATTTTACACTTTGAATACAATAATTATAATGGATAACCCTAGTGCTTGAGAATGTTTGCTCTTTGGGCCAAACATGGAAGAAATTTGTGCAAGGTGTATAAGCTGCCACTAAAACAGTAACTACATCCATAGTTGTGAGCTATATCATTGGTTAACCCGACAGATGATCCACCAATTGATTTACAGCCGTGTCCACAATATCACCTGGGTAAACACAGGAAAGGGACATCTACTCTTTAAATAAAAACCTAAGAACTATCATCTTTAAGTTTTTATGATTGTTCTATTTTGTTTATTCTATCTTTTTGAGTTCACTAGTAGAACTATCCTCTCTGGCACCTCAACACTCACACAGGCAAAAGTATATATCGTGTATATAGTGTCATGTACAGTTCTGATATGCCTGCTCATTCCAGTTGCCAATTATATCCAAAGTATAAACAAACACAGTCAATCTTCACTTGGAAACTCTTCCACATAGTCAGTTATCCTCCCGAACAAGTTTAATTGAACTATTTAAACTCTTATTTGGCTATGGATCCGAGTATAAACATCAATAAATTTTTACAGGGAAGGAGTGAGATCTAAATGATGTTCACACAACCTGATGACTAAATGAAGCAGAATGGTGAGTTACTGTCAGGTAAACAAGGTCAACCCCTGTAGGTATGGAAAATGGTCATAAAACAATGATGATGGTACCCATACGGCTATACCATTACATTTTATCTTTTTTTTCTTATTCATATCAGATTCTTGGCTAAATATTTTATCAATTATTTGATATTTGCTATTATCCATTAACCAGTTCAAAATTTTCGTCACAATCAAAGATTCACTCCCAAACATTTTAACTATACAGTACTGTACTACTAAATTATCAAATTTCTTAACCCTGGACATACTATAGTCTGTTGATAATCCTGATGGTCTGTTAACATGTCACTGGTGTAATACTGTATATGTTTGTATCATTTTTCCAGTAATGTTTATATCTTGACAAGGTTCAGTTTTTACCTTTGATCTCTCCATCTCTTTGTCAATATACCTCGCTCCATTCTCACTTTATGGGATAAAACAGGAAGCTTTCATCATCTTCACATCCTTTCAATCACTCCATAGGATTCACAGTCAAAACAAAGGATCTGTTTTAAGAATGACCGAACACAATCAAGTTTCAAGACACTTCTAAACTGTCCCTTTTTCATAACTCCATTACAGAATTATCTTTTTTATCTTTTCATCCCTAAGTGCAGTACAAAGCAGTACTCACCTAACATGATCACTCACATATCCTGTAAGTCCACCCATCTTTTACTAATACAGTAGCAAACTGCTAATGAACCACATATTTCCAAAGGTTATACTGAACATTAGGACATCTCAGTCAAAATAACACCAACAAAAAATTTCAGAACCCTAAAAATCCACTCACATCTTTCATAATGTGGTCTTGGTGGAAGGGCAATATCTACAAGTACCAGCAATGCACATATTACACTGAGTGGAGATATCAATGCATACTACAGTAATGACAAATAAAAGGTGTGCATAGCACTAATAGCGTGACTGAGTGCACGAATGTGTTAAAACATTTTACAGTATACTTAGATATCAGTGGACTTTCATATACAGTACAAACAATACCTCACTAGTACAGTACAGTATTGTACATAACAGAGAAGAACATCAAAGTTAGGTGACTTTGGGATTAATGAAACTGGGAAGATAATCTTAGATAATTTTTTAAGGCTCTAACACAATACCAGCATAAAAAAGAGGAATTATCAGTTTGTTTACTTACCCTGCAATACCCTATACAGTACCCACAAAGTAACACTACCATTAAGTACTTAACAAACAGCAGCCTAATTTTCATTACATGTCCATCATACAGGATTTAATTTTGCTTGTTATAAGATTAAATCTCACCAAAACATAAGTGTAATCACTACTGTTAGAAGAGGGAATCTACTTCCCCCCCAAAATAAAAATTTTTTCAATATGTCTCCAATATATTTCTCAACTGTAGTTATAAGTGATCAACAATAAACATGTGAAAATAATTAAATATTCAATTCTGTCCCACTTAAGCTAGTGTAGCCCTCTTGCCTGGAGATGGTTGTCCAAAGTTTCCACCTTTAGATTTGGTAAATGTTGCATATAATTGTTCGTATCTTAGGCGGTCTGACAGTGAGACAGAAGGCTTCACTTCTTTTAACGCAGCATTAATATGTCTTTTGAACACTTTGAATTCTAGGTTCTCTGATCGTTTACTACAACAAACATTGCTTTGTGATGATCCATCAGTATATTCTGGTGGGTCAATAACTTGTACAACTTCATTTTCTTGGTATTCATCCTTGTTTTTTATATCTAATTCATCATTCTCTTGAAGGTTGACTACTTTTTGGCTAAACGTCACTTTTTCTCTTTCCTTTTCAATTATTACCTCTTCTTGTACAGTGTGTGACAAATATCTATCACTGCCAAGTCCATGAACCACATTTTCTTCATTACTAAGTTCAAGAGAAGAGGTTCTTTCTATTACCTCAGTTTGTTCATTAACTGAGCTTACAGTATTAGACAGTTGCTGTTTTTCTTGAAGTTGGTCATTAGGAATAACACCCTCATATAAAGTATCCCCAAGTGCTTCCTGTGCAACTAGAACTTGTGCAGTAGACAGAAGACTCTGGAGATCAGCACCAGTAAAATTTTCAGTGACATGAGCAACCTCTCCCCAATCTATATCTTCACCAAGGTCTATGTCATCACTAAGGACCTGGAGAATCTCTTCTCTGTCACTCAAAGATGGAATGGGACAAAACACACATTTGTCCAGGCGACCTGTACAAAGAAAAAGAAAGTGGGTACAAATATATTAACTAGAGATTACAAAGTGTATTATAATCATACCCTTATCTTATCTATCATCCTTTATGGAGGTGGAGAAGGTGTACCAATCCAAGAAATTTTCGACCTTTATACCATATGAGTTTTCTAATACAACACACAGGTTACACAGAGAGTCTATTTAGTAAGGTGAAGCCACTCAAAGCCAAAAGACAATATCATGACAAGGCTACAATAGGTGACTTTCATAGACCCCCAACAACTGATGGCTGGAGATTAACGAGTTAGGTACCATACTAACGGAATGGGTTGTTTCAAGGCTCGGCTGTGAACAGGGAGCACGTACTTGACTATCCACTTACTTTCTACTGACTTCATAGTGACCCTTAGAGAGAAGGAAGGGTTAAAATTGTCTAGTTCAGGCTCAATCATAACCTAATACCTGGAGCAGATGGTTCATGTAACTGAAGCCAACAAGAGAAAAGGGAGAGGAAAGGCACTCTAACGTGTAAACTTCAATAACTGCATCCAACCAAGGGAGTTGACTCAGCTAAAGACATATAAGAGCACAAGGAACTGACCTTATAAACTACCTGGATACCATATAGTCCTCTAATATTATTCTGTGTTGATCTTACTTTAGCTGTTAACCCAACATGTACTGTAGAATGGACATCACATGCCCCTTACCAGATCCCAACAAGATGCATTGGCTCTAACCTGAAGTTAAAGCTGTGCATGTAAATAGTGGCAATTGGCACGGTACGAGTATAATTGTCAACAACTGGAAACACAAGAAACTCCACACACAGACCCAAAGTAAAAAGTAAGAACATAACAGTTCAGCTAACTGCAAACTGACTTAAAAAATCTTCCAAGAGAAAGGAAAAGTAAATGATAAAAATCATTATGATAATCAAAACACTAAAATCCCTGATATTTATCTAGGAAAAAGGAATATCACCAGGAAAATCTATTCATTAAGGAGCAAAACTGAGGGTATAGACATGAATCCAGCTCCCTCCCCACTCTCTGATCCAAAGAAGAAGAAGGAATCTGGACTGGTTTTGGGCAAAGACAAATAAAGGAGCATCCCACAAAGCGGAGGGAAAAGAATTTATCCATGACTTTTTATTCAAGGAAAAAGCATCCACTTCAGCAGAACTCACCTATGGAAAATGTGATGTAATTTCCCAACATTGCATACAGAACTACAGTACAGTACCAACAAATTAGTTCTCAGCTGAAGAATTCTTGAAAATGGTTCTTTTCCAACAAACAATCAGATGGGTTCACTATATCCTTCAATAGAGCATCTGCCTTTACATTCAACATCTTCCCAGTTAGGTGGTCATGACAGAAAAGTGTAGCTCAGACACAGGTCAGAACAACTCCCTGGAAATCTCTCACAGGTGACAACACTTTGCTAAACCCTACTGTAATGTATGCTACTGTGGACACGTCATCCATAGAAAACATGATCCTCCTCTCCCAAAATTAACTTCCTTGTTCTTAGGAAGAACGAGGGTATTATTACAGTTTCACTCCCAATTGGGTTAGAGCAATTTTGGGTTCACCAGAAGTTATATCTCATCAATTGCAACAACTTTTTCTAATACCACTTCCGTCGCAAATGGATAATAATCAAAACGGTAAATTCACATAAATCTGCAGTCACCGCGTGTTGTCTGTTTGTTTACAATTGATCCGCTCGGCCTGAGGGTACAGTACTCTCACATCCACAAAAAAAATTTAAAATATCATCATGATGCTTCAATAAACTTGCTTTCATTGATACCAGATACCAAAATAATTACTTTCTGTTTAATATGGAAGGGGTCTAGGTAGTTAGGTAGGTTTCTTTGGCTGGTTAAATCAGGTTCTATGGGGTGGTGATAACTCAATAACGACTCATTTCCAACGGAAATGAAGGTAAAATTCAAATGAATGACACCAAATACCATGGGAAAAAGGCAAGATTTCTGGTCAAAAACCAAATGGAAGTGAAACTGCAATACTGTACACTGTATTACCAAAAAGAGGGAGTAAACACTCATCTCAGAGACAAGAGACCTACAGTTACTCTCTTACATTCTGCTCTCTCATGGTATGGACTATGATGAAATTATTTTTATTTGAATTTCGATATGAATCCTGTATTTACTGGGGAATCAATGACAAACTATTGAACATAGACACTGAACAATAGTAAAAAGGGTCATGTACCGTGGAGAAAAACTGAGAATAGAAGAGTGAATAAAGAACAGTCTCTGATGAATCAACATAAAATAGTAAAGAATTTTGGGTCTTTTATAACTTTGTTTCATGGAACCAAAGTTCAACTATATTTTTTCTTTATTTTTGGAAGACTTAGTGCATATGGTACTGTATTTAGTTTAGGATGGAATAGGATTATGAGGACTATATTTATGTAAAACAATTCCAATTAGGAATTGAAACAAGATATGTCCTTGAATATATGAACAATCTCATTCTCAAGGAAAAGAGGAAACTCATTCAGAATCCTGAACAGTACTGTACCCGAATAAGTGTAATACCTGGACGAAGCAGTGCTGGATCAATAAGGTCAGGCCTTGAGGTGGCAGCTAGAATGTAAACACCAGTGAGCCCTTCAACACCATCCATTTGTGTAAGTAACTGATTCACAACTCGGTCTGTCACTCCAGTACTGTCATGTCCACGCCGTGGTGCAATAGACTCAAACTCATCGAAGAAGAGGACACACGGCTTGGCACTTGAGGCTCTGTTGGTGAGCAACAAAAGTGATTAAATCACAAAAAAAGACACTACAGTATAAAAATGATCAATAAAATCAATGTACAACATAATGGACAACTACAGTACCTTCCATAGTGAAAGTACTGTACTGTAATGTACTATACCATGTAAACTTGTGCAATCAGTCATAAAAGAAACAAATAAATGAAGTAAAATATAGATATTGTTAAGACTGGCACTACCTTTGGGTCCTTATTCCATGACTGCTCTGTCTTTGTGACATGAAAGGTACTTAGAGCAAATGTATCATTTTATTAAGATATTTAGATAATTAAGACCTTTTAACAGAAAGAAAATTTCATCATAGGAAATAAAAATTGTTCCATCTGTGCCTCAGTAAATAGAGGAAGTGCATTTTGGAACATGCAAGAAGCATTTACAAAGGAGTACTTATAATAGTCATTTTATATCAATATAATACTTGATATATTGGAGGCATAGATGGAAAATAAATTAAGAACAAGGTTGTCTGTGCAAAGTAATAGGCATTATAAAACTGATAAATTAAATAGTGATGATACATACAGGAAGAAAAGGTCACCAGAAAGATACTTGTATTTAAGAATACTAGGGAGCTGTGGCCTTGCAGGATATATTACAAAAGATAAATTGTTGGAGATAATAACAAAATTCATAGGATGGTGAAAGACATGTTATGAGAGATTGGTGAAATCAGAGACTGTGTCATCAAGGTATAGTGATATACAGAGTACTGTGTTGTATCACAACAATGGCTAAATATTGAACCATAGGAAAACAAATTATGCCCAAATAGAGGAAGAAATTTTTTACACGCTTTACAGCAAAACCAACGTACAGTAGAACAGTACAGTACTGCATTTAGCAAAACTGAAGAGATCAGAAAACTCACACTTCTCTTAGTGAAGTTAATATTTACATTCTGAATTGTCAAGACTAATTTTAAATTTACCTCTCAAAAGCATCTCTGACAGCTTCCTCACTTGCACCAATATATTTTGACAGAAGTTCTGGTCCCTGCAATGAATAAGAAATATGAAACAAAATATTCAAGACATTTGAAATATTAAGAATCAACAGTACATTAAACACAACTTACCTTCCACTCATGATTCTTTCCTTTGGTTTTATACATGTAGTACAGTACAGTACAGTACAGAGGTGCCTTGTTATGGTGCGTCACATTTTTCTAAAGTTTACACTGTCTTTATTCAAATGGATATTCTCATTGTCTTTATTTTTCTCAGTAAAACTGAAGATCCAGATCTCGGTTCAGTTCAGCTTTTAGAGTACATTTTGTCTTACAAGTTTCATAAAATATATGTTGATCTACTCATCAGTTCTAACATAATATGGTCTCAAATTTTAAATTTTCACTTCTTTTCACACTTGTTGAAATTCTATTGCCCTAAATGTGCTCAACTTGATCAGCTGGAAAAACTTGGTAATCCTTACAAATTCATGAAAATGGGTTCCAAAGACCTGAAGACCCATTTGGGCCATTGCAAATTCAGCACATGGAATACAGTACTACTAAGCATATGGTACATAATGAAGGCAGTGTGACCAGCACTTTCCCAACTGTAAGGTTAGTTACTCATTCAAAGCTGGATGAATTTGAGGTGCCCCAGGCACAAATCACCAATCTTATGACAGGAAATAAACACTATTTTTCTTGGCCACTGTAGCCCTCAAATACTGTTCTCTATTTTTAAACAAAACATTTCACCCATTTCATAACATTTGTTCACGATCACTAAACCAATGATGTAAAAAAAATTTTTAAGTTACTTGTTTACAGGGGACATTATTAAAGCTGAAGCCAATTTTTGCAATACAGTACTTCTTTCTTACCACAGTAAGAATTGGTCCACAGATACATTACACTACTAATAATTAGAATTCAAGGCAGTTCAACAATTATTAACAAAATAAGCCAAAGCTTACCTTTACAGAAATAAAATTGAGCTGGCAATTGGAAGTGACTGAGTTTGCTAAAAGTGTTTTGCCACAACCAGGGGGACCATAGAGCAACACTCCAGAGCGCAGCCTCAACTTGACCTTGCTAAACAGGTTTGGATACATGGATGGCCAGGTTAGAGTCTCCTCCAGTGTCCTGCTTGCCTCTGCTAGGCCACCAACTCGGACATTTGCAGCATTTTTCTTTTCTGATAATGTTAAACCTGGAAAAGTATACCACAAACATATAATACATGTACAGTATATGAATACCACTATAACTACCTATCCATTAACTTTATTTTACCCTCAATTATATCGGGTGCAAAGGGTTTAGCCAAGATTTCTTTAAAAGAGTACAGCAGAAGGCTCACTGAACTTCCAATGTTAAATCACATAAGAATGTTTACCAATAAATAATCAGTCCATTGTTTTACTAAATTGGCACTATTATTATGTAGTTACATTGCTTGAAATCATTGTCAGGAAACGGTAAGGTCAGATTTTTAACAAGACCGAACATGTCCCCTTGTTCTGGACCAAACTCAATGAATCCACCACCGAGGTGGAGGTGAATAATGATTCACAAACAACTAATAAAACCATTTACCCATTACAAGCCCATCTTACATCAAATCTTGAACACTTGCAGGAGACCATTGTACTTAAATAAGTACAGTGACCCCTCGTTTAACGAACGCCTCGGTTAACGAAATTTCGGTTAACGAACTGCCTTCCATAAGGATCTTCAATTCGGTTAACGAACAAAAATTCGGTTAACGAATTTCTTACGAACCGACCTCAACATGTTTTCGCTTGCACTGGCCGGGCAACCAGCTTAAGTATCAGTCCGCCAATACATTAATCGGTTCTAGGGCTTAAATTCCTAACTATTTTAGTAAATATCAAGAAGTTTATACTATTCAATAATTTTAAAAGTTTAATATTCAATTTTTTAGTCATTTGAACAATTATTGAACATAATTGAAGGTAAAGTGACTAGTTTAAAGCGCAGCATCCAGCCTCTTAACACAGCAAACAGGCGTTAGTCTCTCTGTTTTCACTGGAGGTAACATCTTGCTTGAGACTCTCTTCAACTAAATGCTTTTTTCTGTGTTTCCAAGCAAATTATTGGTCATTTTGAAATATATTTTACATATTGACAATATATAATGCAGTACAGTGTTGATTTAAAGAAAATAATCTTGAAATACACCAAGAGAACTAAAATTTTATGGGTGAAATGGTGCCATGGGGTGACTTCTCTTCCACCCCAATGCCTTCTCTTCTTCCTTCTCCTCCACCCCCATTGTAATTCCCATCATCATCATCATCATCCAGGAGCCTTCTACATACACACCTCAAAGTAAGTGAACTTTTCTACCATTTTTGTTGAATTTAGGAAATTTTCGGTGAGCTGGAACCAATTACCCAAAAACCCATTGAAACAATGGTTTCGGTTAACGAACTTTTCGGTTAACGAACGACCTTCTGGAACGGATTGAGTTCGTTAACCGAGGGGTCACTGTAATGTTAATGCACCTCTCTTTTTAACTAAAAAAAAATCCAATTAAATCTCTTTAAAAATATCTACCAAATCCGTGTTTAATCAATACAATACAAACATAATTTATATACAGTATAGTCTGCATTTACTCGGTCAATTGAACCCGTGGAGGTCCGTGTAAAACGAGAAACGCGTAAACGAAATAACAGAACATATGGGATTAATTGAAATAGACAGAGGGCCGACTCTCAAACTCCACTTTTTCCGACACAATACGTGCGTTGTAGTAAAAATAACATCTTAATTTTATGATGGTATGCACACACAATTAATATTCAAGAGAAATATCAATATTAGGTTTTTTAACACTTACATTAGTAGAAAAGATGGCTGGGCACAAGGGGATGGGGGGTTGGTTCCGAGGCAGAGGGCAGATTATTGGCCCTCACCGATCACTTGTATCAATTGTATCACTATCCACCACAGAGGCTTGCAGGGCCTCTTTGTAAAACCCGTCAAAGTCCATATCCTCACTATCACTGACATAGGGCCAGCTGTGGTGGGTGGCAGGTGAAGAACGCGGTAATGTTTTGATGACTGGGCAACCTTGTGCGCACCCTGCATGCGCCGCTTCCCTCGTAAATGATGAAATTTACCGCGTAATTAAAAAATTTCATTCTGGCAAGGCACGTCGTAAATGACCAAACGCATAAACAAAAACCGCTTAAATCCAGACTACCGTATACTGTATCTTCACACGAAGAAGTTCCCAAATGAAATTTATCATAAGTCAAAAAAGGCAAAATAACAATATGTAGTCACACTGAATGTACAACTCACCTCTAAGAGCCAAATGTGTGTATCCTTCAAGGGCAGCCTCCACATCACAGGTCAGGATAGCATCTGAGTCTGGCCCAGAAGTCTCAACACTATAATCAATCACATTGGAAGAGCTAGGAAGAAAGAGCACTCTATTTTGTTCATGTCCTTTCTTCTTGTTTTTAAAATTACCATCTCTTAAATTCACCTTACATTCCCACCGATGCTTTGCTTGTAAGAAAGTCCTCAAAGCAAGGTGATTCAGATCTGGAAGAACAAAGCTTTCTGTTCGCCTGGTTATCACCTTGGCGTCTAGTTGAATATACTGGGAACACGAATCCTTATCCGGCTCACAGGTCTGATCAGCGTCGGTATCTTGTAGAGAATCTTTACCGTGGTCTTCTGACAATAATCTTTCACGGAGTTTGTACATTTTTATATGAGCTTTGAGCATATTATTGAAAGCCATTATTCTATCTTCTGGGTTTAATGGACGAATTCCAAAAGTACAGGGAAAATAATGACACCCTTGAGGGCTTACTAGAAGAGGATGAACACTTGTTCTTGTTATACAAGTTGCAATCACCATCACAGTACCAGTGTTTGGGTTCTCTAAGTGAAGAGGGGAGTCTTCATCACTGAAAAATTCTATAAGTTGATCCAGGAGCCCTTTGAGCATACTGACCATCTGCATTGTGTGTTCATAAACAGGTCCAGAGTCCTGCTCTAGTAGCCCCTGTGAAGGCACCAAGTGATCCATATCATCTAAAACAATAATGGAGGGTTTCTTGAAGATGGCTTCTCTGAAAACGAGCTGCAGTTTTTTCTCAATTGTTTCCATTTTCTTTCCTTTCAGCTGCTTAAAACTGACAATATCACTATGAATATAGTAGGGATATGATGAAAGACATTCAACTAGTGATTCAACCAAGCTGGTTTTTCCTAAACCTTTACTACCATGTAAAAGGGCAAACTGAGGAACAGCATGACAACAATCTGTTAGGAAACCTTGTCCAAGCAAGACATGTTGCTTTAACTTTAAAAAGACATCAGCTTCTCCAAAATAGGAAAATTTTGAAAGAAAAGTCTTATTTAGATCACTAATTGTACTGCTAATATATGGAAGATTTGAATGGTGTCTCAAGAGTGTAATTTCCAGAAGCACTACTGATCTGTTGGTAAGCATGAGAGGAACACCATCCCTTGTAGTAATAAACACATCAATCGTTTTGCCATTTAAATCAACTTCTAACAACGTATTCTGATTAATAATAACTGGGGTTTCATCTGTTAAATTCTTCAAAAGGTTCTTGACACTTTCACTGAGTAGCTTTGTCTTGGAATCACTTACTGGTGTAAGAGGTAATATATCTACGGATACAGGTACAGTCTTGAACTTAAATTCTGACGTCTGCAATTCAATAACACTTAAGGTACTGAGTTTCATAAGTCGTCTTAAACAATTAGGAACAACGCAGATGTTTCTTTTCATTATCTTTTTCATCTTTTCAACAAAATCTATATTTTCATTCCTTTCTTTAAGAAAATTTTCCCAGACAATAACTGTGCACAGGTAAGTAGTGTGCAAGTCATCCCTTACAGTAACGTCTTGTTTCTTTTTTTCACTTGATTTACTTTCCTCTCTTAAAGCACTTGAGTTTTCACTAATTTCTTTTGGGGAATTAATTTTCTTCAGACAACCTATAAAGTTAATTTCATTCTTGTAACTAGTGTACAGCAGACTTTCCCTGCTGATGATGATTAATGATGGATGACTAGGAAGACTTTCACCGGGCAATGAGTCCTGTTCGTCTGGCATAGGAACAACTCTATAACCCAAACGAATGTCTCTCTTTACTGGACATTCACTCTTTGCTTTCTGTTCATTTAGTTTATTACACATATAGCTCAGTACCATTGAATACATGTTTTCTTCACAGTTATTGCGTCCCTGATTTTTTTTTTTATCTTCATTTACTACATTTGGTTTATTACACCAATTCCAATCTTCTCCATGATCAATGTTCATAATTTCGCTATTTACTAAAGATTCTACAGCTGTTGGCGTAAAGTTAATTGAAGTATAATCGTGAGATCCATCAGTTTCTACGGGTGGGAGAACTTCCACCTGGGTCATGGGCTGAAGAACACCAAACTTGAGAGGAGGATCAAGACTGGTGACAGTGAGAAAGACACAAGCTCCACCCTCCAGCCACAGGGGAACACTTTGCCCTACACCTATCACACGTACCTGGCTCAATATTGCAGATGGAGCAACTTCTGCATTAAGCGCCAAGTCTTGCCACTGTGTTAAGGACCCAACGACAACAGTAATTGTTGTGCAAGGTGGTGGTACCTGAACCTGAGTTAACACACCATCTTCTCCATCATTTATACCACAATCTTTCAACACTTCTCTGCTCACCAATACTGTGCTCTCATTGCCTATACTTGGGTTATGTATATCCCCTGCCCATGACAGCATGACAGTCTGCCCCTTTGAAGCTTCTAAGCAAAAGGTTGGAGTCGGGGCAGGAAGAGCCATGCCTGCCCAGTGGCGGGGAACAGACACAAAACAGTGGCGAGCAGCCCACTCCTTCACCACCACCGAGCGTGAAAATCCTCCTGGCTGCATAATTTCTATGAATAAAACAATTATGCCAATGCCACTTCACACAAAATGTTCACTTTCTATTATATACTTAACAACTACAGTACAAATAAAACACTAAGTGCGTATATGTGTGTCAGCACATCACATTACAAAGGCTCCTCATGTTTCAAATAACTTATTCTGGGGACAATTTTGAATATCACTGTGACCTGTATTTCACTGAATCCACTGAAAGAAAAGAGAAAAGGAAGAAGAGTAAAATAACAGCATAATTAAGGAATATGGTGAGATAAGATGGACAATACTAATGACATTCACTTAAGAAAAATCACACAAAAAATAGATACAGTACAGTATTGTAAATAAAATGTTACACAGTACTATAATAAAAAAATTCAAAATTAAAGCTACAGTACTGTAATGGCATAAATGCAACAAATAATAAGTGCAAGTGGAACAGCAAAAATGATAAAGATAAGCCAACTTGAAAACATGTGACTCTTTTACTCTCAGACAATTGCATAATATTTATCGTGGACAATGTGGTTCAGTTCAACCTGCCAGCATGCATAAAAAATTTCTACCAAAAAAATTCCGGGGCTTTATAAACCCATTTAATTTATTGTTTCACTTTCCAACCATGACAAATATTCACTGAACGTGGTTTGTAGTACACCATACCAACACTTCTGGTTGATAATACATTATTTATCTGAACTAAATTTTTATTTGATACTAATGATCAACAAAATACTTATTTGTTACAATTTATTGTGCAACTAAGTAATCTAATACTGTAGCTACCTGCATCACGTCGGTAGAGGTGATGCAGAAATTTGAAAGTTTCTCACTCGCCATTAATGTATCTCCACTTTAAACAATTGGGTAAACATACATCTGTATCACCATATCATACCTGTGCTGCCTTCAACTTTGGGTGTGCTAACAAATCCATCAGCAGTAATGTGGCTTCTCCCAACTGCGTTAAGTTGACTGCATCTACAACGTATAATACCTTCCTCACACCCGTGTAGTAGCTGTGCCAGATTGGGGCCATACTACCCCCTGTAAAATACACCAAGCCAAAAAACTGTTAGTGATAAGTGTACACTACAGTATTATAACACCAATTCATGCTCATTGGATATTAAAAACAGCTCTGAGTTATAATTGGCACCAAAATCAATACACCACGTATTGAAAATTTTGGTGTTAAAGAAAAATTGGTAATGGATAATGACCTTGATTAGAACAAATTAAATTTTTGATGATTGAATACTGATTATATGTATTCCATATTTTTTTAAATAAATATTTAAGTGTTTCTGTACGAAAAGTCAGTCCAAGTGTTCCAATAACTTCCTGCCAAGAACACAACCTACTTCATTGTTTATGGGAAAATTAGTTTCACAAATACCATTTTTGCAAAATCAAGACAACAATAGGAGATACTAGTATCTATATCCTAACCAATAATGTGTAATGCCAGGCCCATACGGCTAATGATGAGAGCTGACTTGTAAATGCTTACTGTCAGAGGCCAGATTGTGGCAACAAGCAATCATCATAATAAAAAAAAGATAAACCCAATTAATTTCTGAAGATACACTAGTGTGGCCATAAAAAACATTACCCTGGTACCCTCTTAAGCCCTCAATTATTTGTGTTTCTAATTACAGTATTTCCTCTTAAGTATGGTTGGGTAGGGAGACAAGTATGATAGCCGTTGATGGATGGATAACAACTCTGGTGTGAATGATAAACTTTCGTCATACAAGCACAGTAATACCAAACATTCTTGTTGAAGGAGGACATGAGATGCTATTAAACTAAAAATATATCCATGTCACAAGAGATGACTAAAAGGGTCAGCCCTAGACGTAAAAAATAAAATAAATAAATAAATTAAAAACCTTAAATGACCTTACCAAGTTCACGTATGTTAATAGGAGGCAATTCTGGTTCCTGCTGAATTGTGACAATGTTCAACCCCACAGTAGGTACTGTAGTTAAAGAAATATCAGGCTTGGTTAAGTGAGCAAGTTTTCGAAGCAGCAGAGTTTTCCCAGTTCCTTCTGGACCTACACATAATAGCATTGTTCAGCAATGCAATCCTGAAACAAGAGAAAAAATTATAACATTATCAATTACAGTAGTCCCTATACATACATACAGTACTGTGAAGTGTACTGTAATGTACTTTATTAAAAAAATAAAAAGATCACTAAAACTATTCTATTTCATCCACAATATATCATATACCATAGAGTACGGTACTGTAATGTGTTTTCTTAGGTTAATGAAAGCCCATGAACATGACCAATGCCATTATGACAAAATGTGGATGTTCCAATGGAAGTAGAGAGAGTAAGCATCATCAGAAACAATAAATCTTGATGATAGTTTAGCTGGCAGCGAGGTTTTCATTCATTCATTCAAATTAATATGTGTACTGTACCTACTGTACTGTACAAGTATCAAATACTTTTCATATGCAACTTACTTGATTATTTGTTAGCAGGCCCAACTATAAGAAATATGTGAAGACTACAGTAACTTTATTATATTTCTTTAATTTGTATGTTTTGACAGTCATCCACAACTTAATGCATGCAAGTCCGTTGATAACTGTATTAAGTTAGGTTAGGTTAAATATTTTCTCTTCTTATATTACTGGGGTGGTGGCCCTTGTAGACTAGCACTTGCCAGGAGTGTATACACAAAATATAATACAGTTTTCATCTTCTAGATAAGAAAAAAAAATCCTGTCTATGAAAGGAACCAAAGAAAATCCATGGACATAAAGAGGAGCAATGTGTCGGACTTCAGATCTCATGTCTGAATGTTAGTGTTCAGGAAGGAAAAAATCATAGAAATCATATTATGAAAAAAATTTTTATCGTCATCTTTTTTGGTATTCTCGTGAGGTAAGAAAGCTTTATTGGGCAATTACTGTAATCGTTATTACCACCTACTCAATTTCAACATGAAAACATATTTTTCTGGAGTATTTTGGTGGGTTTTCTTTGAATCTGACCTTCATTTCCTTGGGAAAATCAACACGTACTAACTTAACCTAAACCATTTTAGACCAAGTGCATTGTGGGTGTGCGTGGGTGGCACGATGGAAAAGGAAATAGACATAGGCTGTTAGTCACTCCCTACTTGCCACTTGATCAACGGTCGGGGGAATCGGTATTTTTTTATTTGCCTAAGATTTATGTATGGCAGCCCCATGTGAAACATCGATTACTATTGGTACGGAAGCCTAATGCTAACTTAACCTAACTACTATACCGCATATTGCAGATGTACAATTCTCTGCTATACCATTAACTACACAGTCCATACATACAGCTGTCATACCTACATCCAGTGTTTGGTGTTTTTCATCAGTGCTTTCGTCATCTCCTCCAAACCAAGAACTTTCCATAAATGTTAAAGGTTACTTTAAAGCATAACACAAGTGAAAATAGCAGAAAAAAGCCTATAAGCCTATTTATTTCCAAAACGAGTAAACAGTTATGACGAATAATATACCTTTATTGGAGAGAAATATCTCGGGTGAATATGTGTTATTCTCCGTAAAGTTTTACCTTCGGACAACAAGGGAATCTTAAGATTTTTATCTTTGCAATCAATAGTTTAGACAATTCTAAGACACATTTCTTCGGCCTTTTTATATTAGTGCACCGTTCTATCCAACCTAACCTAATCAGAAGACCCTCCCCCCGACCCTCCTCATTAGGTTAGGTTAGGTTAGGTTTGGTGGGTTTTGGAGTTATTTTTTTATACGTATTTCTAATACCCAAAAAAAGAATGGTGCACAACTATAAATTAACCTTTTCTTCTATGATGTTGCCATCGTAAATGACATTAAAAATTACTTAACCTAACTTCCAAACTGGAGGGGATTTTGGCCCCCTGGACCCCCAGACATTTTTTTTTTAAGGGGATTAGCCCACCCGGACACAGGTCACTGACCCACATCGGGGCCTGGGGGACGAAACTGTATATAAGTCGTTTGCAAGAGAAAGGTCATAGTAGAAACATGTCTTGGAATTGTCTAAACTATTTATTACAAAAATAAAAAACCTAAGATTCCCGTGTTGTCCAAAAGTACAATAATACCCTATTCTCAGGGTGGAGAACAGCTTTTGTGTACAAGGCCCAGAAAATAATTAAAGTACATACAAAACAAGAATGTAGTATGTCCAGAATAAGTGTACTTATGATGCAACAACGGCACTTGTCTGTTTCTTACGGCGTTTTATTTGTGACCAAACATAAATATTAGGAATTTGTTACATATACACTTACCTGTATATACAAAGAATGATTAACAATGTTGTTTTAGAGTCGTAATAATGAAATATATACTGTTTTCTTGTGTATAACTGTTAACTTGCTCTAAAACTGCAGCGTAACACAGTTGAACACTTATCACAAGTTTCCTTTTGTAGTAGTGTTGGTATGGCGAGTGGCCGAGTCGAGTGATCAGCTGTAGTTGATCCTCAGTGCCTTAATGACCCTTTATTCACCTGACCTGACCGACCTCCCAAGCGGCTAACAGTGGCGAAGAGGATAAAATAAAATAATATAATTGGTATATTTTATAACCATAATAAAAAGTAACGATGTCCTCCCATGTGAGAGTTTCATTTTCTTTTATCGCAACAAAGAAAGTGGATGTACGGTAAATGAACAGTAAGAATGAGTTTATAAATGCGAGAATTAAATGATTTTGAGCGACTTTAAAAGCGAAAATTAAATGACGGAACGAGTTTAAAGGTGTTACCATAGTATTAAAGAGACCGAAAAAGCATAATTTTAATTAAATGCCTAATAATAATATTATTATAATTATTTATGTATAAAATAATTATCATGTAGGTAATTCAGGACAGGTACACTAAAGAAATTAACCTTAACTATAAAAATTATATTTACTAAAAGTTCATACAATGGAACTTTAGCAAAGTTTTTAGCCAAAATGAATTTTACGTTACAGATTATAAGCAAAAAATGAAAAGAAGAAATGGATTTCCGGATTATTAAGACCCTGGTTTGGTTCACGTAGGATAGGTTAGGTAGGTAAGGTTAAGGCCCGTTTCCACTTGAGAGCGCACTCTCGGTAGTTACTGGTAATAGTTCTCTCATCTGTGTATCCACATGGGGATTGCTGGCCACTTCGACTTTGGGCTATTTCGGCCGGAGCTGATGTCTTCTTTCTTCTTCTTGAGGTTTCTTCTTCTAGTCTTGGTCTTCTTTCTTGCTACAACTAATCTGATGTTCTTGTTTCTTCTTTTCTTGTTATTCTTTTGTTCTTCTTGTTTTTGGTATTTTGGTTTCTTCTTTCTTCTTGTTGTTTTATTTGGGATGAATTATGGTATGAGTGAGTGATATGATAGTGAGTTACTGACAGACCAGATGAAATGGCCGGTCAGGTGACTAGTTTCTCTGATTTTTTTTTTTATTGTCTTTTGTAGCCCGTCTTTTTGTTTGAATATGTGTTGGTGGGTGTCAGTTTAACTTGATAAATGTGCGTGTTGTATGTAATGGAAAGGTTTGTGATATGTCTCTCATGTTGTATGTTTAAATTTTTGTTTTATTCATTTTTATTTGCTTTAGGGCATGGTTACATACATATTATAAATATAAAAAGAGTTCATGCGTGTGTCATTCACAACATGCCGATAAGACGGGTCTCCTTGAGGAAGATTATTACAGCGTCACTTATGGTGACATCATCTTGCAATATACTGGGTACAGCCAGCACGAAGCCTTGCTCGGCAGCTAGCATCACTAGCTGCCGGCGCTCTGGTTCGTACTGGCTGCACTCAGTCAGAATGTGTCGGATGGAAAAAATTTTGTTGCACGTGGCACACATAGGTGGAAAGGAGTTGTCTAAATATGCTTTTAGGTGGGTCAAATGGATACAATTTAACCTTAGTCTGGCGAGAACCACCTCTTCCCTCCTATTCTTTCGGTATGCTGAAAGCCAGTTTCCTATGTTAGTCTTCCAGTTGTTGCGAAGATCTAACCTCGTCCAATCATGTTGCCACTTCCCTGTTGTATATGTCTTCCCCAAGGAGAGACACGACTGACGCTCCCAGGGTACATTGGTTGTCTCCCTGAGACCCACAGTCGCTTTTGCTAGTTTGTCTGCCTGTTCATTGCCCCGAATGTTGCAATGCCCAGGCACCCATATCAGCACAATATTCTTGGCACACTCAAGTAGTTTATTAATAATGTTGCCCTGTATCTCATTGCTCGTAGTGTCACCACCTTGAATTGCTTTAAGAGCTGACATGGAATCTGAAATGACAGCAACATCATTGACATCGCTTGTTATTGCAATGTCAATGGCTCTACTTATTGCAAACATCTCTGCAGTGAATATGGTTGTATGCCGCTCCAGATACCGGCTCCAACGTTGTCGTCAGTCTTGGACCCGTCAGTGTACACGTGAGTATAGGCGCTATATCCTTCTAGAAATTGATAGAAAAGTTGTTTCAGGAGCTCAGGATGAAGGTCATTCTTCCCTCCTGGAAGCCACGATGTTTCCACATGGAAGTTGGGGTTCTCCCATGGCGGACACAACGGTGGAACGTATCTATCAACGTCTTCGAAGTGGATACCAGCTCCCTGGCACAAGGTCTGGAGGCGGACAACCGAGGACGGGGACCTACGCAGCTGCAGGAAACGGAATTTAGCAACAGCACACCAACCTGGGTGGCCTGTGCCGCGCCTCCTAGCCGTACTCAACCCGTACCTTAGCGTCAACATGTCCCTCCTGATGTGGAGTGGAGGGAAGTGGGCCTCAACCTCTAGTTTACCTACACGTGTACACCTGTAAGCACCCAGACATAGACGAAGGCATCGGTTCTGTATTCTGGTTAGCTTTGCGAGTGTGGTGTCGCATGCAGAAGAATACAACTGGCATCCATAATCAAGTTTTGATCTGATCAGGGTCTTATACACCATTAATAAAGATTTCCTATCGGCTCCCCATGTAGTACCTGATAAAACTTTCAGGATGTTTGTGAATTTAAGACATCTGCTTTCAAGTTCGTTAATGTGGTTTTTCCACGTTA